AAACTTATAACCTTTATTGTATTAAACTAGTCCAATTGGTGTTTTTTTTTCCCTAAAGTTGGCTGCAAAGGGGCCAACAGACATCAAGCACTGCACAGGTGGAGACCTTCTAGTGAATAGAGTCCTGAAACCACAAGCTGACACACCCTGTGGGTTAGATCATGAATTGGTACAGACTTGCTGTTTTGTGCATTCCAAACACACTCCCAAAGCATTTTCTAACAAGCCTAAGACCTGACATCTAGAACTAATGGCATGTAAATCATAGGTGCCTCAGGAATCACAGAATCATAGGATGGTTTGGGTGGGAAGAGACCTTAAAAATCATCCAGTCCCATCCCCTGCCATGGGCAGGGACACGTTCCACTAAACCAGGTTGCTCCAAGCCCCGTCCAACCTGACCTTGGACACTTCCAGGGATGGGGCAGCCATAGCTTCTCTGGGCAACCTGTGCCAGGGCCTCCCAACCCTCTGAGTAAAGAATTTCTTCCTAAGTTGTGCCTAAATCTCTCCCTTTTAGTTTAAAACCATTCCCCTTGCCCTATCACTATGTGCCTGTGCAAGGAAAAAACAAGTAGGTGAGACCATGGACACAGGACCTGGGTACCACCAGCTCAGTCAGGCAGTGTTTGCACCCAGGTTACCATGATAAAATGCAGGTGTTATAACTCTGAATCCCACATCTCACTTCAAACTTCTTTTAGTCCTGATCCTGGCAGGCCTATTTTGAAATGGTCTTTGCTGGACGACTCTTAAGCTGTTAAGAATACTTGTAATGTCTCCATTGACTTTCAGTTTTTCTTTGAGGGGCTCTTTTCAATGCACAATTGGCAGCCAAAAGGAGACCAAGACCCTGCAGGGGTGAGGAAAAAAAAGCACCAGTTCTTCTCCTTTCAGCACTGCAGGTATTTTGGGCACCAGTGTGAAATGGAAATACTCTTGGGCTTCTGCTTTTTGTGCTCTGCCCCTTTCCAGTCTCCCACATCCCTGTCTCCGTGCCAGGCTTCGGTGGGGAAACATCATATTGATTGTGATGCAGGCAATTAAATGGTGTTAATGAAGTTCAAACAAGTGTTATCATAAGCTTGGCAGCACGGAGAGAAATGAAAGGTCAGCCACAGCCCTTTGTCATCTTTTCAGTGTGGTGTTGAATGCTAATGAGACAGCCCCAATTAGAACAGGCTCCCCTTTGTATTGCTTGGGGATTGCATCAAATGCTCCCAAGTTCTCCAGATTTCCTGGCTCAAAGGGGACATTTGAAGTAAACTTGAAAAGATGCAGATCTGAAGCTGCTCTAATGTAAATTCAGCAAAGCCTATGGAGTTTTACCAGCTGAAGTCAGACGAGATTCTGCTCCACCGTTCCCATTCTTTTCCTCTTTTTTTTTTTTTTTAATATTTTTTTTTCAATAGGCTCATATAATGATAATTGAAAAGCCTCCACTTTGTTTTAGAACTGCAGCCTGGATCTTCATGGCTTCAACAAAAGTCAAAGAGCCTGTCCCCATTTCCTGGGTTAATTCTCCTGCCTCACCAGGATTGTTTCAGCAGGCAGAGTCCACCCCTGCTTCCAATAGTGTTGTAAAGGACTATCACGGAATTATGGAATGGTTTGGGTTGGAAGAGACCTTTAGAGGTCATCTAGTTCCCCTGCAATGAGTGGGGACAGCTTCAACTAGACTTAAGTGAGGCACAGTAATTTTTTTCTTGCTGTTGTCAGCAAATCCATTGCCTTGGATGATCATAGAAATGGACACTAAAACAACCAACCTCTCAGAATGCCATGGAAATTCTCAATATCCTTTATAGTTTTCCCTGAAGGCGACATGGAATTGAAAAAATTGGTAAATTTTAAAACTTTTCTATTAGTAGTTGTCACGAATCCTAATTCTGAACCCAACACTTGAATCATCACAAACAAGTAATTGAAAACATGAGAAAATCCTTCCAAGAGCCGAACAAATAAATAAAACCACTGAAGAAGATTCCTGATGGCCTTGCTATTGAAATCTTTTGGAATCAGATTTCCAGGTGACTCCTGCATGGAAGTAGACCACTGGTCAGACCAGATTTTGTAACTTTTCCCCTCTCAATGTACATTCACAGCCTAAAGAGGTGGAAAATCACTGTTTGAAGGATTGGAGGAAGGTACTTTCATCCATTCCCGCTTCTTATGCCAAGGTCATTTCCTGCTCTGAGTTTTGGGAGTCCTGAAGGCACGTTCTAGACCAAGGAACCAGTTTCTCAAAGGGATGGCTTGGAGTGGTCCAGCTCAGCTCCATTCCAGCAGCTCCTTAAAAGCCAAGAGTCTCTCTTTACTCCAGAGTGCCTCTGAGTTGGGTACAATCTCCCACTGCCTAATTACCCTCTTAGAGTTTCTTCTTCATCAAAGAAGTTCATTTGATTTCAGGTTCTTCTGATTTACTCAACCACTTCTTAAACTCCACAACTGAAAAATCTTTTTATCTCCTGATTCACCCTTTGAAGAAATCTAGTGGTCTTGAAGGATGCCTCCTCCAGCTGATGCTGACTACAGAAATAGCTCCAACCAGGACTGGGAGCCTTTGGATTTGGAATAACTCCCTCAAAGCACAATTGCAGAATGGAGAAAAGGAATTAATTAGCTCAGGGTAGAACTGAAATTATATTTTATTCATCCCTGAGATGTTTTTTTCCTTTCATCTCCCACAGCATCCAGGTGCCACTGCCTTGAGTCAGTGGATCTGACACACAAAAACATAAGCAGGGAAGAAGCTGTAACCATATTCCAAACCCCACAGCCTCCCCTTGGGCTTCAGTTCAAGTTGTCAGACATGAGTGCAGAAAACAATGCAGCACATGCTGGGGTCAGACATCCAGTGATGTTTAGGAGCAGCAGGAGGTGTTATGTACCTCGTTTGCAAACCCAGTTGTTTGGGAAAACTTCCAAGGAAATGCAGCAACTCTTGCTGAAGATCACTGGGCACCAGGATTTAGCTCCAAAGAGTTGCAAAGTGAAATCAATACTGGAAAAACAAAATCAGAAACTGCAGCCTTTTTTTAATCCACAGAAAAATATCCCATTCTCCCCTTCTGTACCTCAGTTTGTCACTCAAATGTACCTTCTCCGAAGATAAAAATCAACCAGGTTCATCTGTCAAACAAAGTATTTGGCCACAGAAAACGACCACACTCAAAGAATGTTGTTAAAGCATCACTGGAGAATGACATCTTTGGGTCAGTATTGGTGCAAACCTGATTTCTGAATGAATCTCAAACTCTGCTTTCCCATTATTCAGGTCAATCCAGCAATCAGCCTCAATACACACTAAGGAACTTGGACACTGCACCAGTTGTTTGGGAAAACTTCCAAGGAAATGCAGTACCTACTGCTGAAGATCTCTGGGCACCAGGATTTAGCTCCAAAAAGTTGTAAAGTGAAATCAATACTGAAAAAAACAAAACAGAAACTGCTCCTTTTCTTTATCCAGCGGGGGAAAAAAAGGTGCTGCATAAGGAAATTCCTATTTTCCACTTCTGTACCTCTGTCACTCAAATGTACTTTCTCCAAAGATAAAAATCAACCAGGTTCATCTGTCAAACAAAATATTTGTCCACAGGAAACAACCAAACACAAAGAATGTTATTAAAGCATCACTAGAGTGTGACATCTCTGGGTCACTGTTGGTGTAAACTTGATTTGTAAATGAATCTCAAATATTTCCTTCCCGTTATCCAGGTCAATCCAGCAATGAGCCTCAATACATATTAAGGAACTTGGACACAGTACCAGAAGTAGGTCATAATTAAGCAAGGTGGCTTGTGAGGGCCTTACAGGTTGCCTAGAAACCACATTTGCTGAAGTGTTTAACCACATCTAAAAATAATTCTCCAGACAAATCGCACAGCAATGGGAGAATCGTTGGGAAAAATGCTGCCTCGTGCCAACCAGGGGACAGAGCTCTTTGATCATTCACACTCCTCTTCGACAAAATGAGAGAAAACCATCCCCACCAAAGGAAATCTAGGCATTTATAGGGCAGAGTGAGGTGTCTACAGCAGCAGAGGTCTCCTACAACCTGCATGACATGGTATCAGTTTTAGGCCATGCCTATGAAGTCACCCAATCATTGCTGGAAACAGGGTGCATTGTACAGGAATGATCTGTAAGATAAACCTGCCTTTGTATTTGCAGAGTAACAACCATTCTCCACCTGTGCAGGTCCCAAACCTGCCAATAACACCGGGAGAGCCTTGGAAAACAAAGCACAGATCAACTGCTGCAAAGCTTCCTCCAGCAGAAAGGATCGCACTGAATGGAGTGCAGGATGGGCTGGTTGCTTTTCCTGGGGCAAACCCTACAGAAATTGAAGTTCCAACATGCTGCAGGAATAGTTGTTTTGGTTGTGTTCACTGTGGAGCAGCTTTGCCAGACACTGACTTTCAGCACATGAGATTGAACAGTACAGCCACAGGTCTTGTAGATGTGGATAAAACACTCGAAAAGACCTGTGACCTTTCAGAAAACACCTGCAGAGTACCAGTCACCAGCCTGTCAATCTTCTGGCATCTCACTCAAAGCACAGAAGAGCCTCCAAGGAGAGTTACTGGGAGATAATTGTATGTCCCTTGGGATCTAGGCAGTGTGGGGACTGTCACAATGATGCTGAGAACAGCAAACCACTTCTGGTCTGTGTGGAAAGACTTAGAAGCCCATTTACTTCACAGGGCTCAAACACATCACCTCCCCTTCCTTCCTCCCTCTACAGCTTCTCAACAGTTTCTCCTCACGAGAAACAATAAAGGCAAACACCTTCTTTCACACCTCTAATTAAATTCCCATCTCTGCTGCAAGGCACGTGGGAACAAAAGGCTGACATGGAGACTTCTGCCTAGCAAAACCCCAAGAGAAAAAGCCCAGAGGCATCTCCCAAAGGCAACAGTGGTGATACCTCCTGGTATCACAAAGCAGGGCCTTGCTGAATTACTTATGTCATTCCTATTTCTAGGGTTAAAACTCACCTTTCCACCCAGTTCTTGTAGCTGGGGATGTCCTTGGCGTAGAGGAGCTTGTTGGAGGGGGAGTCTTTGCCCAGCCGGTGCTCTGAGGTGGAACAGGAGTCCATGAAGGTCTGGGCCACCACAGACAGACAGGCATCCGTGATGCTGTTTTTGTGGATGTCGAAGACAAACTGTGGGTTCTTGATCATGTTGACCCAGAACCTTAAGGGGAGGCTGCAAGAGGGGAAAGACAATCAGGGCACAGCTCACAGGCTTTGTTGTGTGGGGTTACAATGGTAAATGGTGGGTGGAAATCAAAACTCATGGTGCGGAGATGAGGGTTTCAGGATAAGACTGATAGAAAATAAATTCCTCCCCTACACTCCAGGGACAGCAGTGGAGTCACCTCGGGAGTGGCTTTGCTCCCTGGTATCCCCACAGGGCAGATTCTGGCAGTCTTTAAGTCAATACAATCTTATTAAAGTTGCACATAAATTAGTGGGAGCGATCGGACATTGGAATGGGCTGTCCAGGGAGGTGGTGGAGTGACCGTCCCTGGAGGTGTTCAAGAAGAGACTGGATGAGGCACTTAGTGCCATGGTCTGGGTGACAAGGTGGTTTTGAGTCACAGATTTGGCTCAGTGATCTCAGAGGGCTTTTTCACCCTGGTTGATTGTGTGATTCTGTGATCCCATGATATCTGAGGTGAGGACAATGCTTCCAAGCTTCTATACATCAAGTTGCAATGTAATGGCCCCTATTTGTTGCTTCATCAGACAAACACAGGCACTGCATCCATAAAACTTATGGATGGTAAGGGTGGTGAGGCACAGGAACAGGTTGCCACATCCCTGGAAGTGTTCAAAGCAAGGTTGGACAGGGCTTTGAGCAACCTGGTCTAGTGGAAGGTGTCCCTGCCCATGGCAGGGCGCTGGAATTGGAGGATCTTTAAGGTCCCTCCCAACTCAAATCATTCTGTGATTCTAAACATTTGTCATTGACGAATTTGGCTTTTAGCCCTTGTGGCAACTCCCTGGGAAGAAGAGTAGGTAGAGCTCCCAGGATGAGGCTGGGAATGTTCATGGCATGCACTGTGTGCTGGGGGCACCGTGTACTGTCACAATCCACCCTCAAACCCAAGGCTGCAAACAATCCCAGCACACTGGGCATGAAGCAGTTGCTACATGACAGGGAAAACCCTGCTGCCTCAAGGAAAAAAAAAAGAGGAGCTGGGAAACAAGCATTGCAGCCTTTGAAATGAAAATCTATCTGCCCTAACCAAGGAAATGTTATTCCAATTGCAATCCAAAGCCCTTTCTCCCTTCCAATTTTTTTCAAAAGAGCGGTTCATTTGGATGAGATGCCCTGAGGTATCAACTTCCAGCCTTTGCCTCAAGCCTTTTTGTCAGGGTAAAGGCATTCAAGTGATCATGGCCTAGGAGCTGAGATGTGTCACTGATCACAGAGCCCAGCTCTTGTCTCTCTGTCAGGCAGAATGTTAAGCCAACCTTCACTCTCTGCACCTTCCCAAGAGGAGGATGTTATTCAGCTGATATTCCTGATATTCCAGCTAAACTCCCCAGTTCCTTCCATTTGCTCATTACCCCCATGTGTTCACTGTAGAAAATTCAGCTCCAAGTGTGATATATTTTGGGTCACAACAGGCAGTTTAACGCGTCCTGACAGAGGGATAACACCATGTTTTCCTAAACCACTTTGTGCTCTCCTGAGCCAAAAAACCACAGAACAAATGTAAGAAAAGCCCCACACAGGGAATCCTGCCTACGAGGTTCAGGAGAAGTGGGAGATGCTGGAAACTGGAGAATTATAGACTAGTTTGGGGGGGAAGGGACCTTAAAGATTATCCAGTTCCACCCCCTGCCATGGGCAGGGACACCTTCCACTATCCCAGGTTGCTCAAAGCCCTGTCCAACCTGGCCTTGGACATTTCCAGGGATGGAGCAGCCATCTGGGCAACCTGTGCCAGGGCCTCCCCACCCTCTGAGTAAAGAATGAGTAAAGAATGACAGTGAGACCTGATGGAGTTGTGGGGGAAAACATTTTAGGCTGGGGATGGAGGATCATCAGTTGGAGGACAAGGTGGCTGAGTGACCCCTGCAAAAGTCCTTCTGCAGGTGTTTGGATGACAGGCACAGCCAGCATGAGGACGAGCAGAGTCCATGTGTGTGACCCCGAGTGCAGGAAAGGGCTGGGGGTGACGGCCCTCGGAGCCCCTGAGGTGATTTTTGAGTTCATTTAATCTGATGGAACAGATTTCTCCAGACTGCCCCTTTCTCCACACACACAGGCACACGCACACACACACACTGCCTTCCCCCCTCCCCCCTTAAACAAACCTCCTGCTCATTTAGCCTGAGTGGCTGCAATCAGCCTTAGATTAGTGCCGCAGATAATGTTAATAATATGCTAATGTTTCATTAGTTGAAAGCCTCCTTGGTGCGTGGGGTTTCTTTTTTTATGTCACTGCCTGTGACGATCTGCCATGAGCATGGCTGGGAAAAGGAAAAAATGCATGAGCTGGGAGCCCCATGGCTCTCCTCTGCTGTTCCTTTTATAGTCCCTCTATTTGCACAGGAGAAGGGGAGGGAGTGATTCCCCAGGGATGTCTTTCCAAAAGGGATACTCAGCAGAGAGGAGGTTTTTCTCCACGGATCCTGATTTTTCCCCACTGTCCTATTAAATATGTGAGGAGAGACCTGATGAGAGCAGGGGCTGATGTCACTCTTTGTCACTGATGTCACACTTTGTCACTCAATCCAAAGGAGACTCACATCCACCTCCAGACCCTTTAAATGCTCAGTACCATTGGAGATGCTCTCCTGGCCTCCAGCTGCCACCCAGGATGGTCTCCTGTGGGTGCTGCACATTCCCTGTGCACATCTGGGATATCTTAAAAAAATCCCAGCTGGCACTAGACACCTCTGTGTGGGCAAACAAATGGAGCTTTAAGCCCCATCCTGACTATAGTGGGAATTAAACGTAGTGGGAATTCAAACATTTTGCCTAGATGAAGACAGTGGTGCTGAATCCTCTCCCACACCTCCCTAGGTATTCCCACGGTCCTGGGCACTGCAGCAGTTAAACACTTCAGCATTTTTCCGCATGAAATGCCTCAAAAATGCTGCCATTCCCGTGGAATACAGGCAAACTTGGGCCTGTTTAGCCAAAGTTCTCCATCCTTGGGAGAATCATTTAGATTCTGGGATATTCTGACTTGTGAAAACTTGGTGCTCTGAATCCCACACCAGGCTCCTCCTCTCCCCCAGCAGCCAGATTCCAAACCACACATTCCTTTACTCTCCTTCCAGCCCAGTACCTGGTGCTGGGCCATGCTGGGGTGTGTCACTCACCAGTTGCTCTTCCAGGTGTGCCTCACGTGGGGGTCGTGGATGTTGTGTTTGTCAGCCTGCTCATCCAGGAAATCAAACATGTACTTGATAGCCAGGGGGAGGGCACTGCCACGGTGGGCAGTGCTGAAGATGGTCTCAAAGAGGTCATCTACAAACTTCTGGAGGGTGCCCTGTCGGGAGGAGAAAGGGAAGAGGAACGTGAGACAACAAGTGGGAAGAGGAGGCTGAATTTTGGTACCTCCCTGGACACAGAGCGTGTCTGTGGATCAGGGCCCTGAGGATGTGATAGGAAAATGGGAGCCATGAAATATCAGTTAAATGTGACCTGATTTGGGAATTTCAATACAGGTGTCACAATAACCACTACACCTGGTTGTCAGCCAGGTCCAGATGTGCTCCCTGTCCTCCCTGCTCTGAGCATTCCCTGCCTGGAAGGTGGCTGAGCTGAGGTGGGACACCTTCCTCCATCTCAAGTACATGGTGATGGAGAGGCCCCACTTTGCTTCCAGTGAGATTCCTCTCCTCTGCATCCCATCCTCAACTGCTTTAGTGCACTCATGAGACAAAACCCCACCATTTTCTAGGCTGGCTTTTCACCCAGGGCCATTTTTTAAGCTGGGAATAGAAGTCAGATGGCTGTAGAGCACAGCAGAAGGTGTCTTTGAGACAAATAGGACAAGAGTACCTAGAGAGAGGCAGTTGGTTTACATGTGTGACTGGTTTAATAAATAAGGCAAAATTCTTCTTAATTCCCAGGAGGCCTCCTCATTTTTTACTATCCACTGGCATGGGACTAAGGCAAATCCTAAAAGCAATGCATGGATCTGCCATGCACTACTCTGCAGAGCTCAGGAATGTCCACTGCTCCTCTGGGAGGAGAATCTCAAATCCTGAGCTTGGAAAACTACCCTGATGAGGATATTTGACCTTTAGCAAGAAGGAGAGGAGCTGGAATATCAGAGGGTTGGACAGAAGGGCAGCAGAGGAGCTTTAGGCTGGACTTTGGGGAGAACCAGGCAAGGCAGGTTTCCTCTGCCACCAGAGCTTCACAGGCATTTCTATGTGAACAAACCACACAGCTGTGAAAACAACCAAACAATAATTGAATCTCCAACAAACAGTTCCTGATGTGCAAAATTTCCTCTTCTGAAAAGTAAAATTCTTCTCTTTCTTCTCTGCAGACCCAGGAAAGGAATTTCTCCTTTCTGGAAACAAAGCACCAGGTTCCACCAGAGTGGCTCGAGTTTACATAGAGGTACAAACACTTAATTAGAAAGCTGATGTCTCTGGCTGATTCACCACTTGATTTATTCTTTGGGAAACCAACAGAGGCACCTTGTGTGAACTCCTACAGGGTGAGTAAAGCCCTACAGCACATGTGTGACTCAGAAAGGGCCCCTGAGGGGAAATCTTGTTGCTCTGACATGGAGGAGCTGCCCTCAGGTTCAGTTGCTGCAGGGAATTAGTTCTCTACGTGCTCACCCACACAAACACAAAGAAAACCTCTGAGGCTTTTAGGCAGGAGGATCCAGGTCTCAGAGGTCAGAGATTTACCAGAATAAAAATCACTGTCAGTTTAACTAAGTATTCCTGGGGATTGTATTACCAGCAATTGCTCTCTCTCCTATTTCCCTCCCTGAAATGGTCATGATGAGAAAATAAAATTGTTTAACCCAAGAGGGGAAACAATAAACCCCCAACCCTCCTACTTTGTTTCTGTGCAAGTCTTGCAGCTGCTTTTCTGCCATTTCCACAGAAAAACCAAACCAACCCACAACCCAAGTGTTGAATCTGTGACCCAGAACACAAAGCAAAAGCAGTTCAGTGATGGCATAGGGGACATATCCCCAGACAGTGGAAATCAGCACTGCTCCAATGCTTGCTGGTTTACACCAGCTGGGGCCAGAGCCCTGGGGAGCATCATTTTCTTTTAGCCCTGTGATCCATAAAAGCATCTTGATGCCAGGGAATGGGGCAGGTACCAGGGGCTAAAGACAAAGCCACTTTATCTCCAAATCCCTCTCTAACACAGCCAGCTTGAGTGAGGCTGCAGGGAGAGTGAGACATCAGAGGCAAAATGAGTTGAGGAATAAATGTGCAGATAAAACTGTAAGGTAGGACTTAAACAAGTGACGGGGGTCTGAACTCAGATGGCATTTGCACGAACACATGAAACTGCGTTTGTGCCTATTCACACCCTGACTGAAGATAATAAATAGTCAGAGCTCTGGATATGTCTGGAGATTCCATTCAGGATGTCCCTGCTCTGCTTCCACCTGACTTGACCTGTACTTTCTCTTTGGAGCCCCTGAGCTTTCTACGTCTCAGACCAGGGGGATCTGCACTCCTTGGAGCTGGCCATCCACTGACATCATAGTCAACTTAAACCCCTGCCAAAACATCAGCACTAAAGTCTTTATTGTCCCGGGGGAAGGTGGAGAAGAAGGATTTGTACAACAAAACTCAGAGGTTTCTGGCATGGGAGCCCATTTCAGGCTGTGAGGCCTGACACATCCTTGGAACCTGAGCTGGGCACATTTACTCCCTGGCTCTTCATTTGCTCAGTTTTGGGCAAAACTACAAACCAGTACAATCGACATCCCCAGCCCCTCCGCCTGTGCTGACTCTCCACCAGTCTCATGGCCCTGAATTCTTTACTCCTCGTTCCTTTTCCAGTGTCCCTTTTTTCCACTCTGCTTTCTAAGTTTCAGCTCCTTCCCTACGTGCTGGGAGCAGCAATTTCCTTCTGCTCTTTATCCTCCTTCGGCACCCTTTGAGTGGTCTCTCACTCCTTGTTGGCAAGAAACCCCATCAGGGCCTCAAACCAAGCATTTCCCACCCTCCTCCCCGCCCCCGCCACGTACCTTGGTGGCAAGAAGTCTGGTCAGGTAGATCTCAGAAACCATCTTGCTGCCCCTGTCACCCTCTTTTTGGTCACCGTGCTCGTGGTTCTTCACCAAGTGCCACATCTTGACCCCGCTCTCCAGGTCGGGGGTGATCATGGGGGTTCGGGACCGGAGGCTGTCGGGGCTCCCCGTGTAGCGGATCATGTTTTCTGTGGAGAGAGATGAGGGCTCTCAGCCCTGGGAGCTCTCCCATTGGGATTTTCAGGAAATGTCCCGATGATATGACACCTACTAGGTGCTTTTCAAAGCATTAGCTGAGTGAGTTTGCTCGGGAAAGGCAAGGGGTGTCAGCCAAGCCAGGTGTGATGTCGATATGCCATTAAATTAAATGAGGTTCAAACACTGATTTCCAGTTGTTCACACTTTTTACCTCTTATCTTGTTCCCTGGAAAAATCTTTGGCCTGGGACAACTGGCACTGTCAGTGTCAGACACTGTCCGGGACAATACCAGTTACTCCTGGTAACCAGTATGGCTGAGTAACTGGTTTTACCCCTATGGATGTTTAGCCATACCCTGCCATGCTGTTTGGCACAGTGTCACCTCTTGTCTAGCTCCTCATCCCTCACTCCTTTGGCACCAAAGCAACCAAATCCCTGCCCACTCATCCACTTCACTCCCCGCTCCAAAATCGTATTTTTGGCAGAAATGAACCAGAACCCCAGGTGGGCCCACACAAATTTCCTCTCCAAGAAGGCTTTTAGCCTCCAAATTTTACCTCCCTTTGCCTCTGAGTCATGGCACAAGGCATTCCCCTCTCCCTGACCTTCCAGCAATGCTGCAGATCCAGGCTTTTCCAACCATAATTAACAGAAGTGTTGCACCTTTCTGTAGCAAGATCTGAATCAGCCTCATTAATGCATTACCAATCTCTACATATTAATTATCAGATGGAATATCCTTTTTCTCTCTGGATGCTGTTTTCTTAATTGCAATTAACAATCACTTCTGACCCACCACATCTTCTCCTCCCCCTGCCTCCTTCCCCACTCCCTCCTCCTGAAAAATCAAATGGCAAAAGAATTAAAGAAATCCAACAGAAATTAACCCCCCTCAAGTCTTCCTTTTCAAAGGTCACTGTGTCTTTCAGTAATTGCAACAACATGGCAAAGAGGATGAATATTAATAAGGCCTGGTGGATTGTTTATGTCCTTGGAGAAAGTGGAAGGGGGTTCCTCTGGACATTGAGGAACTCTGCCTTCCAAGATAAAGGGAGTGAAAAAGGACTGGAGATGCTTTCCTACATTAATAAAAATAATAAATTGATATAACAGCAGCATTCAGGTTGGAGGGGGGTTTTGCAGTGCTCTGGTTGCACATCAGAGAGGTTTTGATTTGCTGTCCAGCATCACCTTAGTGAGACACATCCTGGGCTGCAGTTCTGTCTCAGGGGAGAAAGGGGTGTGAGGGTGTGAGGGAGACTCAGGAGGTCCCTGTTTGGCTCTACAGAGCAGTTTCCACCTGGTCTCTCTTTCACAGCTCTCTCATTCTCAGTTGTCTCACGGGTAAAGTGGGAACAACAATCCACCCCCTTGGGATATATTGATACGAGACTCTACGAGTGACACCCAGTGATTTAAGATGTGGGCAGCTAATTAAAAAGGCTCCTCCTTTCATTAATGAGGGAGGAGAACTTCCCGAGAACAATCCAACCTCTTGGCTCAACAACTTGAACCAGATGCCAAAGTTTTAGATGGCTGAATCCTCTCTTCCTGCCATTCCTCAAGCAATCTCATCAAGGAATCATCTGCCCGTCACTCTCCCTGCTGGTGCTCCGTGTCTTGTGAGCACCACAATGTTTGGGATCTCTTCCCCAGAGCTCTCCCAGTCCATAGGAGCACACAAATCCTTACCATACTTGCTGGCTGACGTCCTGGAGACTGTGGAGTTGTTGACTGCATTGTAGGCAGTGACTTGCTTGGAGACTAAAGCTACCACAGATCCATCTGGCACCTGTAGAGGAAAAGGGGCTTGGTCAATAAGCTTCTGAAAACAGGTTGAGGATCATGCCAAAGGCAGCTGAAACTGAGCTGCAAACCAGTGTCAGGGTAGGCAGGACAAGTAGTTTTGACTCCAAGCTTCCAATGCTTTCTTCAGTGAGTTGTCTTTTTAATAAAAAAGGGACAAAATCTGCTGTTACACAATTAGAATCCTGCACTTGGGCAATGGGACAATTGATGACACATTCTGCTCCATTCAGGCCCTGATTCAAAGCCCAGTGATGACAATGTGAGTCAGAGAATAATTTAGGTTGGAAAAGGCTTTTAAGATCACTGAGTCCAACCATTAACCCAGCAGTGCCATGTTCACCACTCAACCATGTCCCCAAGGGCCACATCCAGAGGCCTTTCAAACACTTCCAGGGATGTTTTTTGCATTAACCTCAGTAAATCTGACAACAGGTTCTTGTCAAGGAAGCTCTTGTGCAGAAAAGGAGTGTGAGAAGAATAAAATCATCTGAGCAATTTCAAACAAGCTTTGGCTGTCCCACATGGATGATAAACCTGATGGGAAACGTTCTGTTCCTTCCACCTTGATTGCAGGTGATCTCTGGGTGCCCAGTGAAGAAATGGATGCCTGGATTTTCCACTTTCAACCTCTCCGTGCACTGTCTCCCCCTTCCATGTGACAAATCCACTGCTGGACTGAAGTGACCACCACAACTTTTCCCTTTGCTGTGTCAGGGGGGGCTCAGACAGGGAAAAGCAGCAGGTTCAGAGTGGCTGAGCTCCAGGGTGCCATGGGATTGTGTTACAACAGACCACAGAGCTTTCTGAAACGAGCCAGACCTCCCCTTTCTCCGGCAAGACATGTGGGTCCCATATCAGAAATGCTAAAAGAGCCATATCAGGACCATCTGTGATAAATAAGACATCACAAAAACGAGACGGGTGAAAAAAGCCCCCGCTAACAACGTCTAACTCTTGGCTGTGTAATAATAATAATTAGCACTTGCATGGAGTTTTTCATCTTCAAAGCACTGCAGAGGCTAATTAAATAGCCCCTCAGCTATCACTGAAGGCAATTATTGGCTCTTTGTAGTTTTAGCCCCACACTGAAGATGGGGAAACTGAGGCAAAAAAGGGAATATCAGTGTCTGTCCCAGCATGATCCATGTGAGCCCTCAGGACAGCCAGGAAACCGTGTACCCTGGCAGCTGAGGGCCTGTTCTGCCACAGCTCATCCTATAGCTGGGAGCTCGTTGCCTGCAGCAAAAAAAAAAAAAAAAAAAAGTGGAAAAAGCACATGAAGGAAAGAAAATTATGCCTGGTTTGTTGTTGAAATAAAATAGAGAACGCCCTTGTTCTCTCTGGGAAAAAAAAAAAAGTCAGCAATGTTTCAGTCAATCTGAAGGGAAAAAAGTTTTGTTTCCTTTTCAAATTACTGCCTGCTGCCTCCTCAGGTCAGCTCTTAAATGAAAAGAGAGAATAATCTTGTTATGAAACATAGATTGCTGAAGTGTGATTGAGGAAAGGACAAAATTGTCAGCATTGGATTAAACTTAATGAGGTGCTTTTCTTCTTGTTTGGTTTTTTTCCAAGGAAGAAGCTTTTGACCAAAACTTCATTTTTTATTAAATTACCACTCGTGTAAGATATTTTCAGACTTCTTTAGCTCTCTACTATGGATTTCAAGGTCATGCAGAGATGAAGGGAAAGTCCTGTCCCAAAGCAGGTCACAAGGACCAGGACAGGGGTTCAAAACAAGTGTTCCTGGGTCAGCGACAACCCCACTGCACCCTGTTCTCCAGTGATGCTGTTTCCCACCTCCTTCTTCAAGACACTCAGACTCCCTCTTTCCATTTTTCTCTCTTCCATCCTTCTGAACTCTGCTGGGATTAGAAGGCCACTGATGCATGGGAAAAAGGAGGATGGAAGGCCTTGGGGTTTTTTTTGTCCACATGAGAAATGTTAACTTGTGTTGTCTTCGCGACCACATTTCTTCTTCACACCCTTCACTCACCAGGGTGCCCCTCCTTTGAGAGAAAAAGAAGGTTTTTTCCTACCCTTGGCTTTATCTCCTCTGGGAAATTCTGACAAGGTCAGTGGAACAGGGTGGATAAACTCAACGTGGAGAGTCTGTCCAGTTTATTGCCCACTCAACCATTCTTGACCTCTGCATCTTATAGTCATAAAATCACAGAATCATCAAGGTTAGAAAAGACCTTTAAGACCATCAAGTCCAACTGTTGACATGTCCCCAAGTGCCACATCTTTTTTTGAACACTTTCAGGGATGCCTATTCCTCCTCTTCCCTGAACAAAAAGAATATTTTGCCCTTCTCCTTTCTATTTTATGAGCTGATCCGATTCCCATCCATTCTCTCACAGTTACCTGGTAGTGTGCCAGGGTGTTGAGCCTCTTCCAGTCATTCTCTATCTTGGTTGTGATGTCTTCATCCTGCAGGATCATCCTTGCCCCACTTGCTTGTCTCCACTCTGTGGGGAGAACAGGGATATTGAGTTTTGATATAGGGACAGAGCCCTGGCAATCCCTGTGTCCACAACCTGCCTTTACACTCTGATTACTCACAGCACTTAACTCTTAATTTATTTATATTTTTTATACCTGTTCTTGCCCCAACGTGGCTGTTTCCAAGACCAACCTGTCCTTGCTTGTGTTTGTTCCATGGGACAGGAGAGAATATCGCTTGTGTTAGGGATAGAAATCCATCCTTGGCTCCCTTTCCTGTATCAGCCCAGACACAGCCTTTATAAATATCTGAGGTATGTGACCCTGCCATGACCCAGTCACAGAGGGGGCTCCCCTGGGCACAGCACCAAAGCCTGTTCTGGGCTCAGTTCATCTCCACTAGTGCTCACACAACACCTCCTGCATCTCAAATCCAGCAGGGATGGAGAGCAGGAAGCCCTTGGCTTCAGGCATAGCAGAGACACAACGGGGAGAAGAGTGAAGAACAGATCCAACACCTGCTCTGTGGAGGATTTAATCCCCACCAGCCTTCAGGACACACCTATGGGCAGAAGGGCTCCTATTTCTGACCACATCCAGTTCTCCAGCCTCTCCCATGAAATGATGAATCCCCTCCTCCTGCAGCACTGGAGCAGCCTGACACTTCCCAGGGTACCACTTTTTGCTCAAATCTCGAAGGGTGCTCCATAGAATCATAGAGTGATTAAGGTTGGGAAAGACTTCCAGGATCATGGGGTCACGTGGAGGATTGTCACAGCTTTCCCCACAGAGCACTCACAGACTTGCCTAAAGCCAGGAAAACATAAACATGGCCAAAAGGAGAGAAATGTTCTGTCACCTGGTGTCACCAGGGAAAGCTGTGGCTTAATCACAACCTGGACCATTCAAAGCTCTTTTTTTGGCTGTCATGTTTTCAGTCACAGTGACCCAACCAGAGCCAAAGCAAAAAGTCTATTCATTTGCAGGAGTTAATTAAAATGAACTCTTGGATACGGAAGCATCACCTGCCACCCTTGCTTGTTTTTCCTAATACAAAAATGCAGGGACCATTGCAAATTTCTTTTGGTTTCAGCAGTTTTCTTATCACATAATTAAAATGCACTGGGAAAGCTGCACTTGCCTTTATTATTCATTTAAATTAGCAGGAAGAGGTCAGCAACTGTGTTTATTGCTGGGTGTTACTTTGGCTGGGGATACTCAGAGAGTAAGCAAAGGTTGTGTTGGCTGAGCACTGATCCTGAACTGCCCTTCATCTGCTCCAGCTCCTCAGATCCTCACCTACATTATCCTTGTGATGCCTGAGGGTGATGCTCTCTGCTCATTCCCACCTGGGCAGGATTCCTGGAAGCTAAGTGGTCCCAGATATTGCTTGGAAGAGCACAAAATGCTGAAGTTTGGGCCAGGCTGGGAAATGGTGTTTTTACAAAGTGCCCCACAGGGCAGCAAAGCCAATTCTGCTGTCACAGAGTGTTTTTTCTGTGCCTTCCCTGTGCTCCCTTGGGTTTGGTGTCTCTTTGACCTCTCTCCTTCATGGCTCTGCACAGTCCTATGGTCCTCCTCTCTCCTGACTCATCTTTGGGGAGAGACACACACACACTGTGTTTTGGGAGGGATGCACAGGTTCCTGGTGTGGGGTTTTGATAGGAGGGTGGGCACAGCTTTCCTCACTCTGTGCTTTATTTGTATTCCAGGGCTGGACAAAGTCCTCAGAGTGGATTTCCCTTTGCTCCAGGGGAGCTGAGGACATCCTGAGGTGTCCCCTCAAGCTTCTTGTGCTACTGAAGAGACCCAGGGGATTCCCAAGCCCTTTCTATGGCCTTCCTGCAGAGAGGGATCATGTGAGGAAGAGGAAGGGACAGTCTAAGAGCACAAGAGAAGGAGAAAAACACCCTGCAGGGCATGTGCAGAGCATTGGCTTCAATTTTGCCCTGGCCAAATACAAATCACTTCATCAGGTATCTGAGCAATGACAGGGAAAGGACCCCCAGCTCTTCCCAGTCCCACTTCACGCTCCTCTTCTCTGTGAGGGTCAGCTCAGGTGGTCACACAACGATCTGCAAGGAAATGCAGAGGGAATGGGAAGGGAAAAGGTGACCCTGCCATCCATCTCCACAGCACTAAGTGAGCACTGTGAGCTCTGTCCTCGCTGGCAGCCCCTGTCCCCTCTCTCATCAGATCTGAGCAGAGCCAGCACAAAGGAGAGACACACTCCAATCCAATTTGTTACACTTCCACCTTCCAGAGAGAGGGAGGCAGAGGGGGAGGGAGGTAAAAATCCCATTATCTTTATCAAGCCTTCCAATCAGGAGCAGCAGTAAATGCAAACTCAGGAGACAGCTGCTGTGAAGCCTTTATATTTCATTCAGCAGATAGTGTATCTTTTTATTGCACGCAGGAATTACTTCTTCTTTTTCTTTTTTTTTTCTTTTTCTTTTTTTTTTTTTAAGAAAGAACCTTTCTGTTCAAGTTGGCTGGGAAAAAAAAAGGAAATTCCAGAGGCCTTTGACAAAGAGGTGCTTCTTGGAGCTGCAGCAATGCCTGGCCAAGGAATGACTCTATAGGGAAGTGGGAGATGGGGAGATGTCATCCTGCATCTCAAATCCTATAGAAAATGTTCCACCTCCCCCATGCCTTCTCTCTGACCTGGGTCACCCTGAAAATGCCCATTGAATAAGGGAGGAAAGTGCATCAGAGGGAACATTTTTCAGAAGCAATTGAAATTCCCAGGTGGATGGAAGACCTGCCAGCTCACTCCAAGTGCCTTCATTAGACTCCTCATCCTCAGTTCCACCATCCTGTGCACAGCAATGAGGTGTAGAACAAATGCATGTGGCTCACCCAGGCTTGATGCCTGTTTCATGATCACTCATCTCCTGAATATTTAGTCTGAAGAGCTGGGGGGCTGCTTTTAGTCTTATTTTCCAGGTGAGAGGCAGTTTGGCACAGGAAACAGGAGGATAAACCCCCTGTCTGTGTGTGCAGGCACCAGCACAGCAGGTGAGTAGGAAACAAAAAGGGTTAAATGTCTGTGTGATGAGCTCTAGAAAGAGAGGAGAAACTCAGCTCTGGTTTTGGGATAGAGAAAGGATCATCACTGTTGGGAATAAGAGTTCATTTCAGAACACAGACAAAAGATGCCTGGGAATAATTTCATCCTGTATGGAACGAGTCACAGAATCACAGAATGGTTTGGGTTGGAAGGGACCTTAAAGATCATCCAGTTCTAATCCCTGCCATGAGCAGGGACAACTTCCACTAGACCAGGTTGCTCCAAGCTCTGTCCAACTTGGCCTTGAATAATTCCAGGGATCCAGGGGCAGCCACAGCTTCTCTGGGCAACCTGTGCCAGGGCCTCCCCACCCTCTGAGTAAAGAATTTCCTTCTAAAATCTAATCTAAACATGCCTCTTAGTTTAAAACCATTTCCCCTTATCCTGTCACTCCAAGCCCTTGCCCAAAGTCCCTCTCCAGCTCTCTTGGAGCCCCTTTAGGCACTGGAAGGGCCTCTAAGCTCTCCCTGAAGTCTTCTCTAAGTTGAACTGCCCCAACTTTCTCAGCTTGTCTTCAGGGGATATGTGCAAGCTGTCAGCCTTACTCAATATATACCAGAGTTAGACCCAGTTTAAACATTTCCAGTTTAAATGAACTCCACATTTTAATCCTGCAGGGCTGGTGAGGCAGCAAGAACTTGTCTGATAAGGTCCACAACGAGCCTGAAACAGCATCACAGAGTGCAAGGCAGCCAAACTGGCAGCTCCCACCACCTCAGCAGCCCCTTTCAAAAAGCATCCAAAACACAGGGAAGAGCAAATGCCTCAGCACGAAGACAGATTCCTGTTTTGTGATCCCCACACCTGAACGTGTTCCCAAAGACGGGGTGTTTCATTTGCGGCGAGGGCTTCAAAAATGATAATAACGAAAATCGCCACCGCAGAAAGAAGTCTTTTTGCTCAGAGGGCTGCAATTTGGGGACTCGGACTGAAAATGTAACCTCAGGGTGTCCGAAATAAGTGCTTTCAGCTGACAACCCCCTCCAGGAGTTGCTGGGTAACAGCCAAACATTAAGACATTTGCGGCACACACGGAGTCTCTGTGCCTGCAGCTCCCCTGCACTTAACGACTCACAACAACTCATTAGCTTGTTTGCTTTCTTCCACCTGGGCAATCCGGCCTAAGCAGGGACAGAAAGCCCTGGAAATTGTAATGGTAATAGAAAACGCTGTTTAAAAGCCATCGATTTCAAGGCCAGATCACAGTCATCTGCTCCGACCTCCTGTGAGCACAGGCTGGTCCAGCCCCTCTGCGATCCTTAGGATTTAGCCCGGGACACGTTGATCTGGAGAGCTCTGTGATGATTCCTAACGGCCAGCAGCGCTTTCTACTCTCCCATTTGCTTCCTTCAACCTCGCTGAGGGATGCCAACAAACACCTTTTCCTGGGAAAAAGCTGGGATGGAGCTGTGGGTGGATGTGAGTGTCCTGCCCACGGCAGCCCTGCTCCTCCCACCTTGGGAGCTGATACGGTGAAGTCTTGCTGCTGGCAAGACTCTCCTACTAGATAAGGGGTTTTTTGTGTGTGTTTTATTTTGTTTTTCTTTTCCCCTACTGTCCAAAGAGCTGCTGATTAGCCCATCTCTTGTCACTGTGGGCAAGCCTGTCCTCTGAGGGGTGCACATGCTCATGTCTTCTCTCTGGAACTTTCTGGTCCTCAGAACCTCTCAGATCATAGAATCACAGAATGGTTTGGGTTGGAAGGGGCATTCAAGATCACCTCATTCCAACCTCCTGTCATGGGCAGGCACACCGTCCACTGGATCAGGTGCTCCAAGCCCTGTCCAGCCTGGCCTTGAACAGGTCAATATTTCTTAAACCAGCAACGATTCTGGCGGTAAAATTGTCGGGGACCCTGCACACACACACACAAAAACACACACACACTTCTGTATCTGATGGTTGTCACAGCACCAATGGAACCTGTGGAGCCAAATTTATCCCAGGCATTTGCAGCAGGCAGGTAGAATTCCTGCATCCCATTTTGGATGCATCGTTCATCCCCACAGCAGAACAAACTGCTTCCCCCTCACACCCAGTCTGAGATCTGAAGGCAGTGGGCTCTGTGGGTGCCATCCAGCACCAGACAGGTCGAGAGATCCAACTGCAAACCCCACCCCTCTGCTCTGCTGTGCCCCTGGCACCATGCCCTCCCTGCCCTCCTGCTCACCCCAGCACTCATCATCCCCTTGCTGACTCCCAGCAGCTCCAGAATCATTGTGGGTCCTTTCCTGATGATGTATATGATCTGTTCTTTACTGCTGCTGTTTTTGGCAGCTTGTCTCGTTATTCTAACTGCTTTTCATGAGCAATTTCTGTCAGGAATCCCTCCCTGCCCTGCATATACACACACACAGACACTTAACTTTAATCCCTGACCTCTCATTCCTGTCTTCATTTATTGCTGTGAATTGTTTCTTGGCCTTGGTCCATTCCTTCTCCTTTTGGTTCCTCTACAACTTTACTGAGTTTTATAGACTCCATCATTTTCCACTCCAGTCTCTTTCACTGAAGGTCACTGAGGGAAAATTCTGGCAGATGCACCCACAGTGCAGTTCCCAGCCCCACACCAGACACCACAGCAATGCCCTGAGCAGATTTTCCTACATTTTTTTCATAGTACTCTCCAGGTGTGGCATCACATCTGCCTGTGGACCCCAAACTCAGACATCTCACTCCTCCCAGCATCCTTGCTCCAGGTACTCTTTTTCCAGGGGTCTTTGGCAAGAGAGCAAGAACATTCCCACTCATGCTTTTTCCACACCCTTGTCCGGGGTGAATTCTGTGGGCAGGAAAGCAGGAATGGCTGCTGGTCTTTTGAAGTCCTCAAGGCCAAAGATTCCATAAGATCCACACAGTGTCTCATCTGCCCTCTCTCTGCTGCTCTGAGGGTACACTCAGCCTGGAGAGGGGACACCTGCCCCAGGAAAGGGTCTGGATGGGGTTTGGTGCCTCCCCTCCCCAGTTCCCCCCTGCCTGAGGTCAATCACCTACCCAAATCCATGTCAGCAGCCTTGGGGCGGTGGGAGCAGGGCACGTTCTTGAAGATGGCATCCAGGATCTTCTCCTTGACCTGCGTGATGGTGTCACAGTTCAGGATCTTCACCGGGATCTCGGGGCTGTTCACGTTGTCGGGGTTCACGCAGCTCAGGACCTGTGAGAGAGGCAGTGAGACCCACCACACACGGCACAGCAGCACAGGCACCCTCTGGCTGCCCCTCTGGCTGCTCTCTGCGTCCCACAAGCCATCTAGGGTGCAACAGTGGGGAAAAACGGGCCTTGAGAGTATTCCCTCCTTCAAGAGGGCACAGGGATCTGGTTTGACATGGGAGGGATTCCATGCACCCACAGCTGTGCCCAGGGAATTAAAGGAAACTCCATGTTTGGCTCTAAGTACGTGCTGTGGGGTCCCAGATGTTACAGCCCCTAAGTTGACTTAGGGCTGATGTGGAGTTTTTTCTGAACTGGTGTCTCATATCCCCCATCCCGGTGGGCTGGAACTGCTGTACCTGTGGGAACAGCCCTTTGGATTTGAGACTGATTTCCTTGGCATCTTCATTATACTTAATCACAGAATGCTTTGGGTTGGAAGGGGCCTTAAAGATCATCTAATTCCAGTTCCCCTGCCCCAAATTCCACTAGGCCAGGTTGCTCCAAGCCCTGTTCCAACCTGACCCTGAACACTTCCAGGGATGGGGCAGCCACAGCTTCTCTGGGCAACTTGTTCCAGTGCCTCACCACCCTCACAGGGAAGAATTTCTTTCTTAATAACATAGAGGCCATGAATACCAGCTCATGAGTTCTGGTGCTTTCTGTACGAATGGTCGTTGGTGCAAACTTTTCATAGAATCCATTAAAAATGTACCCAGGTCTGACCCTGGCTGAAGCCCAGCTGATACCCACAGGGCTCTCCAGAGCTTTCCTTGGCCTCTGACCCATTCCATGCTCCCTGGATAGCTGGCAAGGTGCCCTAATTCAGCAGAGGTCTCCTTGCAGTGCCACCTGACTTTGATAATTCGGGTGAAAACGCTCTTCAACCTCTAAACCTTAAATGTGCCCAGCCATGGCACTGACCAGGCCCCTCTCAGAAGAATGTGATTCATTTTGAAATGCAGGGCTTCTTTAAAAATGAAACACAAGCCAACATCAACAACCTCTGCTTTCACATTTAGCAGAAGAAAATTGACCCAACTGGAGAGGCCTCTCGTCTCTCTGAAGGAAAATTTAATTTTCTCCAAAGGCTCTCTCCAAGAGTAAATTCAAAGCACATGGGGTGGTGAGGGGGGGAAACCTTAAACACACAGTGTGTTTAAGAGCAACCTGCTGCTCACCCTTGGCCATGTCTGCACTGACCATTCTGCTCTCTTTTGGCTACAGAAGTGTGAAGTCTATAAAGTTTTATAAACTTAGCACACCTCTGCACTTGAAAGGAGTGTTCCCTGGTGCTCCAGGCAATATATAGCTATTAAATGTTCCTGGGCCACTTTTACAAGTGCAGACTTGTTAGTTTTGGTGCCTGAAACAAATTTTATCTTGACTGTAAATTCCCTTCTGTAGCACACAAGAGGTGCTGGACCCTCCATCACTTCTATCTTCACCTACTAAGATGCAGTGGGAGCTCAAAGTTGCTTAAAACAGGGTGAAATCATATCAGTATAATTACACACTGGCTCCCCAGGCTGCCTTTGGTGATGTTATGCTCAACTAAGAGGGACTTGTGAAGATTTTGCTTACAAAGAGCTCTGTGATCTTGCTGGATGAAAGGGGAGATGTAAATATGAGATATTGATTAGATCATAATGCTATTATTTATATGTCACTTCCAGAAGTATTGAAGAAGCATCAATTCAGATAATAATAACAGCCCAGATTTACAGTTCTGTGGCATCTTTCATCTCAAAGGATCACAGAATTAGACATAAAAAGCCCTGTTGAAATGCAGCATCCAGTGTTGAGGTTATTAGTTGGTGTAGCCCTGTGCAGCCCTCCTGGGCTGTGCCCATTCCTTGCCTGCAGGAAACTCTTCCTCTGCAAACTCCTTGGGCGTATCCAGAAAATAAACACTTGATTGCTGGGAGCCTGTGCTGCTGTTGGGGTTATGGTTGGGCTCCATGACCTTAAAGGTGCTTTCCAACCTAAATTATCCTATTACACACCTGTAGGGAAATGGAAAAGGGATGGCAGGCAGGGACAGCTCTTTTGAGAGTGTTATGGGGATCACACATGGCTCTGGACACCAAGGTACTCTGCAGGTGTTTCCCAGAGTTCTCATCTCAGCTGAGGTGAAATGAGCTGATGCCAATCACAACAAGCCCTGTGCTGGGATTAATCCCTGATTCAAACATCTGGAGTTCAGTTTAGCCCCCAACAAGAGGCCCTTTAGTGCTCTTTAAAACAATCTAGGCTGCCCTGCCAGGCCAACGTCTGGTCCAGAGGACCCAACACCTCCTGCAGGTGCTGACTGGTGTCCACCACACCAGTACCCACCCACCAGCTGGAAGGTGACAATGGGGATTTGCTCTTTTTAACTTGTTTATCCTTGAATTTCACAGGCTGCCAGTTTTGGAAGGTGTCAGAAAACTCTGCCCAGTGAGCCACAGTCCTTCATGCCTTGACTACCACAGCCCTTGGTTTCCTCTGCCAGCTCAGCTGGAATAAGAAGAGCAGGGAAGGCAATATTTGAAAGAAGTTTGCTCTCAGGGGTTTCAGGCAGAGATGGGGGAGCTGATAGTCCCTGTAAACCCCTGAGCTTCCATGTGTTCATTACAATGACCATCAGGAGTCTCTTTTCAACATTTTAGGGAATTCACACATCACTTATGGAAACCAACACCCTTCCCAGAGCACAGTGGCTTTGACATACGTGCCCCAGGTTTCACATCAAGTCTCCACTGGTGTTTTCCTGCTCTTGTGGAGCAAGAAACTTTTCTCTGTACTGATGAAAACCAAGCTAAGACAAAGAACTAATCTCATTGCTCCTGCACTGCTGCTCAGCTGCATCAATCTTGGATGTCCACTGGTGGGGAAGACACCCCCCCAATGGCCTGTGTTGTATTCCCCCAGGATTAGTCACCCTGAGGGAAGTTTTGCAGTGCTGATCTCCCAAATGCAGTCACTGCTGCTGCTCCATCAGCCACCACCTGCCTTTGAGCCCTGGGGGGCAGAGCTGGTGAAGTGGAGGAAGGGGAGAAGAGACTTCAGTGTCACTCAAGGATGTGAATGTTTTGGCACTGAGAGGACAAGAGCACTTGGCACTGCTGTTCTGTCACGCACTGGGGTCTGTGTCACATGAGGATGTGCCAGTTGTGGGGTCAATATGAAAAGGAATGGGACTGGGAGCACACTGAGCAGTAATCTCTGAGCCCTGCCCTTCCCCTATATGACCTTGGGATGTGTCATCTCACTGGATTTGTGTTTATTGACCTTTTTCAACATCCTTGGGGGTTTTTTTTTATCTGCCAGCCCTTCCAGTCATGAACTGTCTCTAAATGTCTTATATACATGCAAAGCTTAGCTCAGCTAAGCCCTGATGGCCATTACAGATTACTGACATTTAAATAATAAAGGCAGAACTTGTAACTACTCATATGGCTCTGAGTTCTCTGCAGTGTTTGAGTGGCCTGACCTGGGAGCTGGATGTCCTTACAGTTTCTGTCCAAGGGACAGAAATCCTTCTCTCCCTTCTAGATTGGGCTGAAAGGTTCAAGGGGGGTTGCAAACAGAGAGTCTTGGTGGAGAAAAAGGAGAAGGACCCCCAAAAAAACCAAGCATAGGAAAGCCTTCTGATGTCATAGAATTATAGAATCACAGAATGGTTTGGGTTGGAAGGCACCTTAAAGACAATGTAGTCCCAACCCATGGGCAGGGACACCTTCCACTATTCCAGGTTGCTCAGAGCCCCATCCAACCTGACCTTGAACACTTCCAGGGATAGGGTGTCAACAACTTCTCTGGGCAACCTCTTCCAATATCTTGATGGTGACTTTCTTCCTGCCACCAAACTCCCTCAAAAGCCTTAACCAAAGGCAGCTGGAAGGATCTTTATCCATCTGGTCTATGTTCTCAGGAGAGAGGATCCCATTAGGCTGCCAGCAGTGGAGCCACTGAGGTGTGCAGGGACCACACAGGGTAGGTCCCTGCTCCAGATGTTCTGGGCATCTCCTCCCTGTCACCCTCAAACACTAATTAGCCAACACTCTTGACAGCTTCTAACACATCTCTTTGCTCCCTTGTGTTATTTGTATCAACAGAAATGCAGCTGCTGCAGGAGATGGATGGTTTTTCACCTCCCAGTGAAGGCAGAGCAGTGGCAGCAGCAGTGAGGGTTTTGCATCTGGATTCTCCTTTGGTGAATGGCTAAAAACCCCATGGATTCTGGCAAAGGCAGATGGCAGCCAGCAGGGATGAGATCTGCCTGTGTCTCATAGATGGGATGATGTAGCTGGGTTTTCATGAGCACTAACACAAGAGGGGGTTCCTCTGGGGTTCACGGATTAGAGAAGGCCCACTGTTTAGCTGCAACCATTTATTCCAGCAAATCACATCTGTAAGTAGCTTAATTTCTCCTGGCTGAAAATTCCCTTGTAAGTACAGGAATTCTTACAGACTGCAAAGACCCTCAGGCACCAAGGGCTGCTTCCTTGGACACCTGTAGGACCTGGCAGACAGCAAGTTGGAGCTACCTGGTTTTGGAGAGAAACCAGACCAAAACAATCTACATTTAGTACATGAGGTGTGTATTGTAAAATCAATTCATTCCAGGTGCCTGAATGTGCTTCATCTTTTTTTTTCTCTCCCTGGATAAGTCAATTTCTTTGGATCTGCTGTTCACTCAAACCATGTTCAAAACCGTGATTTAAAATATTAGGTCATAGAATAGAATCATAAAATCATGCAATGGTTTAGGTTGGAAAGGACCTTAAAGATCATCTGGTTCCAACCCCCCTGCCATGGGCAGGGGCACCTTCCACTATCCCAGGTTGCTCCAAGCCCTGTCCAACCTGGCCTTGGACACTTCCAGGGATGGAGCATCCGCAGCTTCTCTGGGGAACCTGTTCCTGTGTCTCACCACCCTCACAGTAAAGAATTTCTCTCTAATATCTACTCTAAACCTACTTTCTTTCAGTTTGAAGCCATTCCCCCTTGTCCTGTTAATCCATGCTCTTGTCAATAGTCTCTCTCCATCTTTTTTTGTGGGCTCCTTTCAGGTACCACAAAGCCACAATTAGGTCACCCCAAAGCTTCTCTTCGCCAGGTCATGATTAACAAAGGCTAAAGAATAAATCATAGAATCCTTTAGTTTGGAAAAGACCTCTAAGATCCTTGAGTATGTGCCTTCCAAAAGCAGCCCTGGCCCTGTCTTCCAGGAATAATGGCAATAAACAGCCTGTTTCCATGTGCCACACTGCTGGAATTGGGATTTACCTCAGCCAAGCGCTCAGCATATGTGAACATCCCAGGGAATTTTAGCCCCATAAACTGCAAACTCACAGTGCTGGTTTAGAGCAGGAGATTGAGGGAATTTCCACATTAAAAACACTAAATCAGTTCTTTGCTTTGTTTCATGACTGTATATTTTTAATAAGATGTGTCACACTGCTGAAGGAAGGTAGAGAAAGGACAAAATTAAACAGAAATAAAGAGAAACAGAAAGGAAGAACAATCCTGTTCCCATTCTGCTTCTTCTTAATCTCCTTCACCGGAGCTGATCTCTGTAAATCTGCTGAGATTCCTATCGGGATATATTTGTCTGCTCTTGAGATGTAAGAGGGAGAGCTGATTAACATCAAACAGCACAAAGGGAAGGAGGAGAGCTTTGTTCAGGCTGCTGTATAATTACTACTCTTTGCTGGCTGCTTTCTATCAAGCCTAAAAGGATCTGGGGGGATTTCCTTTGGTGAAAGGGATCACTCCATGTCTGTGTTTTCCTTCCTTCTGCTCCCTCTCTCCGTGTGAGAACAGCCTCTGAATTGCTCCACAACAACAGCAAAGGAGGACCATGCTGATGATTTAACAGGAAAGTCACGTTTTTAATACGCAAAATAAAAGTGTGATCTTATTTAAGGATAAAATCCAACCCCCCATCAGACCTGAATTCGATCAAAGCTCAGCTCTAGACTGAAGACAAGCAGAATTTCAACATCAGCCCTCCTGAGCTGAGGTTTAAGACAGGTCAAGGAGCCAACATCGACTGGGGGTTGGAACCAGATGATCTTTAAGGTCCTTTGCAACCCAAACCATTCTGTGATTCTATGATTAGGCACAGTTTTCAGAGGTATCTAGAGTGAAGTGAAACGAATGTCCCTCATATGAAACTGCAGTTAAAATAATCTGATCAATTTAGAGCATCTTCTGACTGTCCTAAAATTGGGGTTGGGTTTGTCTGAGGACAAAGGCACAGGGAAGAGAAAAATTACAAGGATCATTGAAGACTTAGAAAGTGATCTTTATCCTACAGAGACTTAGAAGCTCTGTGGATTTAGCGTATCCAGAAAAGAATGAAGGCCCAAAAAAACACACTAAGAAGAGATATCTAATGCTCTTTAATTGATGCTCTTTAATCAAGTGGGAAAGGGTGTAATCTCAGAGCAGAAGCTAAAGCTGCACATCTGCAATGTATATCTTGCTCCATGCAGACAATTCCATTTTGAAGGGAATGACTCAGTGCCAGGGATTAGTTTTCTTCCCTTGAAATCTTTAAATCAACTTCATTTTTCTTTGACTTGTGCTTCCTCAAGAGAAATGGCTGCACAAGTTCTAGAGCAGACCTAAAGTCCCTTCACTGTGTACCTCTGACATATCCCTTGATGCTGAAATCCTCACGGGAGAAAGAGATTTTTAATTTTAATAATCAATCTTCAGCAGGGTTACCCTGCTGGGATACGGGGATAATTGTCCCAGAGGGTCAGCATGCCCATCATGGGCTTCTGTTCTCTAAATTCCATTTTTCTAGAAGGTTCTGGACAAGCCCACAGGACTCAGAGAACTCACCAGTGTCTTGTAGTCAATCTGCTGTCGGATGAGCTTGTCCTCACTCAGGGAATACCGGGCCTCCCCAGTGATGGAATCGATGGGACCCTTCTCCATCTGCTGCTTGATGGCACAGAAAAGGGAGAAGAGAGGTTCTCCAGCACACTCCTGAAGGGGCGAGAGACGACCATGAGGTGAAACAAGAGGAGGAAAGGTGAGAACCAAACCCACGTGGCATCTCAGTGACTGCCATGGCTTGCCATCCCCAATCTCTCCAGACCAATACATCAGTGTATTCCATACAGCCCAGGAGCAGAGGTCACCCTCCACTTCCACAGAGTGCAACCAGCCCTGGAAAGCCAATCCCACAGTGTCCTGTCACGGGACAAAGGTGTCAGTGCTCCCTGGCAGTGCTGGAACTGGCAGAGCCTTGCAGGTGCTGTTCCAGCCAGTGCCACCAGGCCAGAGCTCTGCACTGGTGGGGAGGGTTCCAGAGAACCTGGAGGAAGCTCTGAAAGGGAGATGGACTGATGGTGCCTCATCCTGGGTGTCTGGGCAGTGTCCACAGCCTCCCTGAGCACCCTCATGCTGGAGGCAAACAGGGATGCTCAGGCAGGAGCAGCTCCATGAGCCAGGGGAGATGTGCCCCTGGGTCTCTGTGGTTGCACTGATGATGTCAGACGTGTGGAGCCCACACGGGACAGCAACAAGCAGCCCACAGGCAGGGCCAGCAAACACACCTCTGCCTAATTTCCCCTCATCATTCACACTCACTGTACTCCTCTCCCCACACTTTTCCCAGCCTCTCCTCCCTTGTTGCCCTCCCTGAGCACATTCCCTGCCATGAACCCCTCCTCATGCTTTCCTCTCTTGCCTCTTTCCCCCTTCATCCTTCCTCCCCTCCTCACCCTCTCCTCTTGTGTCCCAACTCAGGGAGCGAGGTCATTTTCCCCCGGTGTAAATCCCAGGGAAAACAAGTTAATAATCAGAAGCAAAGTGGCCCCTTTTTCAGTTCCTACACCTGTCTCCCACTTAATTAGCTTATCTGCCAGCAGCATATTGCTTCTGTGTGCCTGTCTCTTGCCCTTATCAGGCCTCTGTTCAGGCTAAGGCAAGAAGACAAGTAGCTGAGTGGGGTGAAAAAAGCCTATTATAAAAGCAGCTCTTTAGAGAGTCACCTCCTTATATCCTTTCCTTTCAGCTCAGAGCAGGGATCTGATACCGAAGTCACTAAAATTACCTTCCAGGGACCTTCAAAACTTTCCCCTGTGTTCATCCTTGAACTGGGAGAGGCTCAGGGGATTGGGGTTTGTTTGTGAAGCCTTGAATTGCCAGGCAGAGGGTGGTTATTGTGTCCAAATGAGGCTGTCAGGTGTGAGGATATTTAGCAACTGCACTGGGAGTGGGGGAGAGGAGCAAGCCCAGCTCCTTCCCAACAGGCTGGCTCTGAGTTTGGTCTCTTGGCAATTGTCATGCCTGGGGCTCAGTGTGGGTCCCCCAAGGGGGACCTGCCATCACCCAGAAGGTCTCAAAGGCTGAAAGACTCTTTTTTTTTTTTTTTGCTACCCACCACCCCAAGGAGACCTTCCAGGAGGAACAAGAGGGCTCAGAGGGTTCTTTCACTCTTTTGCTGCTGAGTATCCTTCCAGCTGGGGCTGGATCTCAGTACTGCCTCTGAACTGAGGTGGAAGGAGATCTCCAGCCACCACGCACCAAAAATATGGGTCACCACATGATGGAGAACTCAGGCTGCTGGTAAAAAGAGAGCATTTTCCATACAGGTCTCAATCATGGTCTGAAAACCTCCACATTTCAGCACTGACCCTCAGATCCCACCTCTGTGCAAGGAGAAAGACCAGCAGGCTGCTTCTCTAACAAAGTGTCCCTCTTTGTTCTTCCTGGATGAGAAAACAGCCCATCTCTCCTATTAGGCAGTGACCTCCTTCCAGAGGAAAAAAAAGAATTTTTCCTTTATATCTGGGAAGTTTTTGCCCCAACTAAACCTCACCAGGAAGAAATGTATTAAAGCAGCTGTTTTTCCAGGCTCCTCTTACCTTGAGGAACTTGTAGAGAAGGAAGGTGAACCAGTTGGTGAGCATTTTCTCAGCCACAGACTCTGTCCTAAAATCAGGGAGGGAGAAAAGGCAAATTGGAAGTGATTTAGTTGTGCTGATCATATCAAAGAACTAATCAAAATATTGGCCTGGTCCATCTTACTGCCCAGATCTCTGAGTCCTGTGCTAAGTCTGGCACAACAATTTCAGGCTTCAGCATGATTTGGATTTAGGGAACCTGCAAATCCTTACTGCCTTGTTGACTCTCCTGTGACCAGAACTCCCTGTGTGTCTGTTTTTCAGTTTCTTCAAAAACAACAAAGAGTTGACAACATTTGAGGGAATCTTCTGCAAAGAGCTCAGGGAGGATAAATCCATCAAATATGAGGAGCTCAGAGCTAGGCCATATGTCAAGTAGGCTATATAAATACTCAAGAGAGACAGATCTAAATCACTAGGGAGCAGTTATCCAGCACTGCCTATCTCCCTGGCATTTGGGAGTGATTATACTCCTCAGTGTGGCAATGTGGAGCATTCACAGAGCTCATGCTTTTGCCCTTGAACACTCTGTCCTCCATGAAACAGAGATCCATCTCGAGGCTTCAGGATGAACTTTTCCTACAGAAAGACCAATTCAGACCTGTAAGTGTGGTTTGGACAACAGGGGCACAGGATAAACCTGTGCTGGCTCCACTACATGCACTGGTGCTGCTCAAGAAGAAAGCACAAGTCCCTGTCTGGTTGAATTAAAGTGGATCCTCCTTGTCCTGGCTCTCACCAAAGCCACACAGGGGTTCTTGCTTGTTTTTGTTGTTCCCAGCCCTGAAAAATCTCTTTGGAGCTGTAGATGCTATGTGGGATGAACACTGGACTCAGGTGAGGGGGGAAAATCACTTCTGCCAGCTCCTTCTTTCTGTCAAATATCTCCAAAACGGCCACTGCAGAAAGGTGTTGGAAGATTCCCTTCCATCCACAGACTCATGGGGAGGGAAGGGAAGCATCAAGTTGGATCCAGCTGCTCCAAATCATTGTGTGAGGACCTCACACCAACATCTGACCCAAGGCACTGAGCTATTCATGTGTTCTGTGCTGGTGCTGCTCAGGGCAGGACCTCCATCTCAGAGCACAAAGCACGTCTCTGGTTTCTCCTCATGTTTTCAGACCTTGGAACAGTGGATGTGCCTTCTCTGTTCCCTGTCTCTCCTTCCAAAGGCCACAATTAATGTCCAACAAAGAGAGTTAGAAAAGAGCTGCAAGAAGGAGAAAGAGGAAAGATGGGATTCTCAGGACAAGACAGTAATGAGCAACCAGGGAAGATAAAGAGATGGAGAAAGGGGAAGAAAAAGGAGAACATGAAAGGAGGAGACAGTTGGAAGGAGGCAGTGCCATCCAGCATCAGAGGAGAAGCACAGAAAGGAAGTCTGGGGACAGCTGCAGGGTGGTCACCAGCCAGGCTGGAGGGCTTGAATCACATCAGGGAGTCAACTGACACCAAAGCAAAGTCCAGCCTGTGCCCCTGGCATTGCTGCCCTGAATGCCAGGAAGTGCCTTCTGCTCCCTTTTCTACTGATTGACCATAGTGGGCCATGTGCTAAAGGAAAAGCCTCCCAGAAGGCACCAGAGATCTCTTCCCTGCCCAAGCCATCCATCATAATCAGCTGAGGGCTCCTCAGAGTTGGCTCTGAGCAGTGGCAAAGGCCATTCCTCTCCAGAAGATTCCCCCTGATTTTACTCAGGATCAGAAGGATTGGTTCAGACCATGAAAAAGAGACTGATCCTAAAGGGAGAAGAGGCAGCACTTCCTTAGGCAGGGAAGGCACTTAAATTACAGAGAAGTAGATTTCTAACTCAAGGTTTCCCACAAAACTGTGGAGTTTAGACCTCAGACCAGGCCACGAAGCACCAATTCAAACTTGTGCCTTGTATAAAACCAGCTCTGTTGTCCTGCTCAGCTCTTCTGCTGCCTTCCCCAAATTCCCAGCACCAATGCTCTGGGAGACACAGGAGATCCCACAGTGCAGCTGAAGACTCTCCATGCATTCATAGGTAATCAAGGAACAAAAAACAAAGCTGGGAATTCCACACCCCAGGCAGGAGGTGGAAGAAGTTGACATACTGCTCACCAGGGATATAACACAGCCTGTTTTATGGGATACACTTAGGGGTCCTACACAACATAGTTGGAGTTTGTAGGTTAAAAGGAAAAATAAGCCTAAATTTAACATCTTAAGCACACAGAGAGTCCAAAATAAGGATTAGGAAACAGGGACTTTTGCTGCCCTTATGAAGCTTTATGGAGCATCCACATGAAAATCCGGAGATAGTTTAGTTCTGGAACTTTTAATTCCTTAACTGTAACTTAACCCAATTCTGTAACTATCAATCATCGACCACTTTTTGGTTAGGGAGGAGAGGAATCAAGAGCTACATCTTTCCTCCAAAGATGACTATGATTATGTTGGACAGCAGAGCACAGGCTTCCCAACCCAACTCCCTCCAGCCCCAGCCATCCTCACCTCCGGAGCAGCAGCTTGGGGTGGTTCTTGCTCTCCAGGTTTTTGTCTATGAGGTCGGCCAGGAGCTGTTTGAGGACATCAGTGGCATATTCCAGCTTGCTCTGCAGCACTGTCATGATCAGCGAGGCCACGTTGCCGCGGTCCCTCATGGAGAAGCTGCGCTGGGACTCCAGAGTGCGGATGAAGGACAGCAGGAACACCTTGTTGTTGATGAGCTGGGCAAAGAGCTTCAGGCCTTTCTCCACCCTCTCCTGCCTGTAGCCAGGGACCTGCACAAGAAGAAAGGGAGTTTATGCCTTTATACCTTTCTCAGACCTCCCCAAAGGGGTCTCACACCCTTTGCTGCCTCTCTGCCCTCATCCCTCCAGCTCCTCCAATTAAGGGAAGACAGGAAGAGAGTCCACACATCATTTAATGATTAGGAAGCCTGGCAGAACTCCTACTCACAGCCAGATGATTTTTTTCCAATCCTGTGTTTCCCTCTCTGAACAGCACTTCAAAAAGGGATTGCTGGTGCCTGGATGTGGTACTACACCACATTATATTTTTATTTTAGTCAAACTGAAGTCTTATTCTAGTTTTATCCAAAACTTCTTTCTCATCCCTTCAAGAAACCTTCTTACAGAGGTTTGGGATTAAACTTCAGGAGAGGCAGAAAGAAAGTGAATGGGAAAGAGAGAGTAGGGTCAAGATTTGAGGAGATGAGGAGATGAAGAGACACAGAGGTTTGTAAGTCTCTAATATATCTCTCAGCTGTGAGAGGTTACTGAACTAGTTTTTATATAGAAGAATTTAGGACCTCACCTCTGGAGCCTGTGCTCCACAGTCACAGAATCCTGGAATCACAGAATCAACTGGGTTGGAAAAGCCCTCCGAGATCATCCAGTCCAACCCTTGATCCAACCCCGCCGTGGTTCCCAGCCCATGGCACTGATGCCACATCCAGTCTGTCCTTAAACACCTTCAGGGACGGAGAATCCACCCCCTCTCTGGGCAGCTCATTCCAATGGCTGAATGCCCTCCCTGTAAAAAGTTCTTCCTAATATCCAACCTAAACCTCCCCTGGCACAGCTTGAGCCTGTGCCCTCCTGTCCTACTGCTGGTTCCCTGGAGCAGAGCCCGACCCCCCCCGGCTCCCCCCTCCTGGCAGGGAGTTGCAGAGAGTGAGGAGGTCTCTCCCCTGAGCCTCCTCCTCTCCAGGCTGAGCCCCCCCAGCTCCCTCAGCCTCTCCTCCCAGCACTTGGGCTCCAGTCCCTTCCCCAGCCTCGCTGCTCTTCTCTGCCCCTGCTCCAGCCCCTCCAGGGCCTTCCTGAGCTCAGGGCCCAGAGCTGGACACAGCACTCCAGGGGTGGCCTCCCCAGCGCCCAGCCCAGGGGCACAAGCCCTGCCCTGCTCCTGCTGCCACACTCTTCCTCAGCCAGCCCAGCAGCCCTTGGCCCTCTTGCCCCCCTGGCCACACTCGGGCTCCTCTTCAGCTCCCTGCCCAGCCCAACTCCCAGCTCCCTTCCTGCCTGGCTGCTCTCCAGCCCCTCTGGCCCAGCCTGCAGCTGCAGGGGCTTCTTGTGGCCAAAGGGCAGGACCCGGCCCTTGGCCTTGGGGAACCTCAGCATGGTGGTCCATGGTGGGCTTCACCCTTCCTGGTCCTTCTGACTCTAGAAAAAAATGGAGCCTAAATAGGGAACCCCAAACTCATTCCTCCATGTTGCTGAAGCTGTTCCAGTCCTTGAAAAAAAACCTTCCCTGGAAGCTGGATGGTTTCACCAAAGAGCAACACATGTCACTGAGACATGGATGTATTAATAACCAACCAAATTTGGCACTTTAATACAGAATAAGTTGGCATGTTTAAACAACCAACTAATGCAGGCCCCTTATAGAGTCATTATTTTAATTCAGGAAATTAGAGTTCTTAACTCTTTTTGCATACAGCAAATAAATTACTTCCTAAATAGCTTGAGACAACCAACCAACCAACCAACAAACCACTACCACCCATCCTGCCAATAATTATTTTTAACTCACTTGCTTGAACATTTAATATTGTCTATCCTCGGGTTATTATGGAGAATTAAATAAAAAATAACAAGAAAAGTATTTTGTGCTGCATCTGGAAGCAGTTAATTAGCAAATGAACTGGAAATAAGTGAGACCTTCTCACTGCAGGATCTTTTGCAATAAATAGCAACTCCTTGGTGCTCCAGAGAAGGGAGCAGAATGGGAGCTGCCTTCGTGTTGGTACCAAAGATCTTGACTCTGAAAGAGCTGCTGAAGCTTTACAGAGGATTAAGGAAAAAAAAATAATGAATGGAATGAAAGGAAGGAGAGATCAAAGGTGGTGGATTGAAACATTAGCTCTGTGTGTATCTACAGAGGGGAGCATCCATGCTAAGACCTCTGAAGGGGTCAGATGCTATTCTGTGATCAGCTGTCTGGGGTTAATGAATGTAGGGATTGAAATTGGCTGTGGGGATAATGAAAGTGCTTGTGTGTGTGGACACACATGTGAGAGGGAGATTCAGCACCCCTTGTTTCTCCTGCCCATTTATTGAAGCTGCTGAGTTACTCGTCCTGAGGGAAAGCAGCTTGAGACCACCTACCCGCACCCCACAATTAAATGTGTGCTGTAGTGAATGTGTTACTCAGCCTCCCACCCAGTCCCACAAGTCCTCCTTGCTGACAGATCAGGTTTTCTAATGGTTGTCTCCACACAGTTCAATGAATTTTGGCTCTTCCGAGTGGAAGGAGCAAAGACGAGCAGGCATCTCTGATTACACAGCCAGCCAAGCACAGGACTGCCTGTGCCAGCTCCTGCCTCTCCTTCCTGCCAGCTAACCCCAGTCTTGGCCTCCAGCAATCTCACCAGCCCATGCCAGAGCCCCTCTGAAGATCAGAACCTGCCAAAGACTTTGCAGAGAGCTGAGCCAACAACCTCCCTGGCCTTGGCCATGGTGTAGCTCCCGATTCTCTGGCCCAGGCATTCCCAGAGAAGAGCCTGTCCATCTGCCAGAGCCTGATGCAGATTTTAGGCTGGCAGAACTCACCTGGGCTCCCATCAAGCTCTCTGTCACCACTGAGGTCACACAGGCTGTGTGGAGACCCCAGCAGTGGTGGGCACTGTCTCACTGTCCTCCCACCTCTGTGGTTCAGAGAGTCGAGGTGGAGGAGGAAGGTGTGGGCAGAGCATTGACAGAGTGATGCTGCAAACCACAGAGTGCAGCAAAGGTGAACCTCCTTCAGTGACAGGAGGTTATTTTTATAGGGGTTGCCACAAAAATACTGACCTCTTGGTAGTGTGAGGGTCATACAAAGCTGGAGTGACACTGGGAAGTGTCCTGCTCTGTCACATAACTTCTTTTCCTGGCCCCTACACAGCAGTAACTAATTAATCCAGTCTAAAAATCAAGCCAAAGCAGGGTGAAAACCAAGGAGAAGCTTAATAGAGTAGGCCTAATGCACACAGATCTGTGAGAGTCTTTCAAATAAGTGAGGGATCAAAGAGAATTTAACAGGTATCAAGTGACAGGATGAGAGGAAATGGCCTCAGGTTGGGCCAGGGAATGTTTAGATTGGATATTGGGAAAAATTTCTTTACTATAAGGCTCGTCAGGTACTGGAACAAGCTGCCCATGGAAGTGGTGGAGTGACTATCCCTGGAGGGATTTAAAAGATGTAGATGTGGCACTTTGGGACATGGGTTAGGGTGGAATTGGCAGTGCTGGATTAATGGTGGGACTCAATGATCTTAGAGGGCTTTTCCAACCTTAACAATTCTATGATCTGAGTCAGCAGCCACCATCTCCCCCTTTCCATATGGATTTTTAATGAGGTGCAGTTTTGTCCCTGGTAGCACACAACATTGGAAGCCACAATATCCCCACCACACCCCTGTCATTCAGGACCAAACAGGGAGGAATGAGAGGATTCAGAAGCAGCAGGTGTTGGTTTCTTACCTCCAGATCCCTCAGAACTGGGTGATCTTCAATGCCAGGGAAAAGCACCCTCATGGTGTAGGTTCTGTAATCCAGGAAAGGGATCCCGGCTCCATCCAGGTCACTGGTCAGCTCGTGGATATCTGTCTGCAGCTCTGCAAAGGCTGGCAGCAAAAAAAGGAACGACTCAGGTAGCAGTGACAACCCAGACTTCCCTCCCCATGATGGGAAAGGCCCTCACACCCACATGCATGAGACTAAGCCACAAGTGGAGAAGTAACTTGTGGAGAGGAAGAAGAAGGTGGACAAGAGCAGTGTCACCTTTCCTATACCACAGCCTTTCCCCAGGGACATGTGCCAGGGATTTCTCTGGACTGTGAGTTAGGACAGGCTGGAGGAAGACCAGGCTCAGGGAAAACAGCCAAAGTCAGATTAGACCCAGGCTTGAAGGCTCAATGTTCTTTTTGCTTGTGCTGTTTTGGCTCAAATCTTTGTGGCTGGATGTCTCTCTTCTACCAACACTGACACTGTGCCAGCTGCCCTCCTCATCCTACCTTCTTTGCACTCCAGAGCCACCCTGGACTCCAGGTTGTCCATCTGCATCTGCAGGCGCTTGAGGGTGAGGTCGCTCTCCCGGGACTTGCGCTTGTAGGCGATGAGCACGGCCACGATGAAGATGATGAGCAGCCCACCAGCCACAGCAATGCTGACAATGGCTGGCAGGCTCAGAGGGCTGTCTGGAGAGATGTAGACCATCCCTGGGGAGAACTCCATGCCTCCTACACGAGCCTAGAGGGAAAGCAGGAAAGGGTTGCGTTGAAACTGTCAGGGGAGCAGGGACACGGAGGAACTCCATTACCTCCTTGGCTTAGGCCGAAGGATAAGCTCTTGTGTCCCAAGCCAAAAAGGGAAGTGTTTGGATAGAGAACAGCTTAAAAACACCTGAAATGCCATATAGAATTACCTCTGTTGACAGAGTGACCATGAACCCAACCAACAAACGACTTGTGGTGGGACAAGTCAGCGGTCTCAATTTCCTGCCTCGGTATCAGTTCAGACTTCATTCTGTGCTTTCCATTCCTTGTCCTGAACACTGTGATTTGCTGGGCACTGACGTCACTTAGTCCCAAAATACACACTCATGGTTATGGTTTGGGGCATCGCACCCCGCAATGGGACGGGGGACACCTGACCCAGTCAGTACGGTGGGACTGCAGAAATCAGTCACTGTTTTCTTTTGACTCTTCCATGTGGGAGCCCAAACCCACCTTTCAGCAAAAGGAAGCTTGGTAAATCTGAATCACAAACCTTGGAAAACAAGGCTGACAAACATCTCGTGATTCAAGAAGTTTGGACCCTTGTCCAGAGACCCGTTATCGTGTAACCCGGAGATATAAACCTGGCTCCAAGAAGAATTAAGAAAGGACTTTTTGAGATGATTGTTAAAACCATGTCTAAACCCCTGTAATCCCTCTATCCCCCATGTAATCCTACTTGAAGAAAAATTGACTATTTGAAAATTGCAGTAAAAACTTGTGTAACTCCCCAATTAACATAGGTTGTCCCCTTCATTAACATGTCCAGCCCCAGATGCCTTTAAAATAGTGTTCTCATGTTCAATAAAGTATTCCAGTTCCCCCATACTGGAATCGTGTCTAGCTTTTATTTTTCAGACCACCACTCTTCCACCAGATAAAACTGTATCAGGAAGCCTCTGAGGCAGTAAGAAGAAGCCTACAAAGACCACAAAGCCTGGCCCATGCTCTTTACAGCCCCTTTCTCAGCCACACATTGGCATGGTACAGATGCTCACCAGTGGGACAGGGAGTTGAGCACAGCTTTTTTTTCTCGATGCACTTCCAGGGATTCCCAGAGCTGCTGCCAGCCTCTGGAAGGAGCTGCTGTGTGAGGACCTTTCTTTTAACAACCAGCAAGAAACCCTGCAAGCATTCCTGCTGCAAGGCCAACAAAATGTTCTGCTGAAGCAGGTCTGTTAGGAGTCCATTTTTACAACAGGAACACCACTCCCAGCAGTAATCCCACAGGATCCTGCTTGCTCAGGGCTACTACAAGGTTGTTCAAAGCTATTTGTAGAGTAGACTAACTTTGAGTGATGGGGGAAAAGCTCTGCTGAGCAGCCTGAAGTATAAAAGAAGGCTTGTAGGGCTGTGCTGTGGCTGGGGAACGCTGGTTATAGATCAGCAGAAGGATGGGAGGTGCCATGCAAAGGGCTTGAAGGATTGTGATGTGGTGATGAGCCCCATCACTCACCCCAGAGGAGCTTTGTCACTGAGAGACACAGCTGGACCTGCACAAAGTGCAAAATCTTGCTGCCAGGTGGAAATGCAGTCAAGACCCCAAGGCTGAGTGTTTCCCACTTCCATTGCAACTGAGACCACTGCAGCACACAATTAAACTGTTTTCTCCCTCTTTTATGAGGAGGATCCCTCACGTTTCCAGTTCCCACAGCAGCTGGTGAAAACACCTCCCACATCCCAGCCTGGTGTCCAGCCTTGTCCTTCATCCCCTTGGCTCTCAGCTCATCAGTCTGTCTCCAGCCTGCCTGTGCACACATTAATCCCAGGCCTCCCATGGCTCAGCTCAGGCACCTGCTCAGGTTTCCCCTCTGGGTTGCAGGAGGAAGGATCTGGTCCAAGGAGGAAGGGTTGGAGCCAGAAGAGACTATGGAGCAGAGTCATGAATTAATGAAGAGTTTTCCAGCTGTTCACCACCACAATCCTTTCTGGGGACATGAATCTCTGCGACCCCACCATCTCCTAGAAATTATTCCAGTCCCAGATGCAACCTCAGAGAAGATGCTGGTTTTGCTCTACCACCAGGTGTAGGCTGCTCCTTACTGGGTTCTGGCCAAAGACACACAGCTACAACCCTTATGTCATGGACAGGACAAAAGTGAATGTCTGAAAATACCTATTTTCCATCCACAAGGTCCTCTCATGCCGTTTTTTGGACGGGCTTTAGAAAGGTAACAATGTCCACAGCAAGAAATGAAACCAACCCCAAATTTATCTGCCCAGGTAATAGAGTTGACCATTCCTGCAGTATGACACTGATGACTCATAGAGCATCTTCAGAGGCCAAAGAACAACCCATGTTGGTTGAGGAGGCAGCAGTGACCAGTTTTCCCATTTATTTCAAGATCCAAGGCCCAACTCACTTATAAAACCTGCACAGGGCAGAGGTTTGGGATTGGTATGTGACACACTACCCATCCTGATCCATGCACTGAAAGCTGTTCCCTTTTACTGTAGACCACTGTTCCAAATCCTCCCTCCTAAAGCTTGCACAGTTTCCTTCCTGTCACAGTGGATCAGTAAATGGATTTATTCAATTTCATTTTCTCTTTCCAACAGTGGCCCTTTTCCTCCAAGCCCTGCAGTTAGACGAGTCTATTCAAGGAGTATCAGACTAAAATCAAACAGGCCCGTCCCAAACCCCAGTGCAGGTCTGTCCTCAAAGCTCAGAGAACAGCCCATCTCCATGGGTGGGATTTCTCTCTCCAAATATTCCACATGCACATCTGAGTTAGACATTCCAGCACGATTTCAGAGTCAATAAAGAGAAAAAGCACTTTTAGGATGTGATTTATGTGAGCTGCTTTTGACACCTCCTTTGACATCAGGATGAGATGTTTGATTCAGTGGAAGTTCCCGTTTCTCTCCATTAACTAGGAGAGGATTTAGACTCCTAAAGGCAGGTGTCTAACAAAGTGTGTTCCTCTCCAAAGGTGATTTCAACACTGTGAAGGTCCCACAAGTAAAACTGCCTTGATGTGAGACAATCTGCCTCTTGAAGGAGAAAGCCTAAGAGGCTGCAATATTATTTTGAGAATTCAAAAGAAAAACAGGCAAATATATAGATATAGCCCTACTTTATTTCTTGGGCCACCAAGTGGTTCTAGAGGATGCTGTTTATACCTTCCAGAAGACTGAACGTGAACCCTCCGTATTATCAAGCACCAGTTTGGCCACCTGTTAAGCCTATTAATCATGAATTTGTTCTAAAGGGCACCATGGCAAACATCAGTTTTCTCCAACAAAGTCTTAGGGGTCACCTGTAGCAGTTCAGGAGCTCCTCTTGTGCAAAACTTGCCTGTGGTGCATGTTTGTCCTGGCCCAATGGAATTGTCTAATTTAAGATTAGAGGAAATGTGCCCTGAACTTCAGTTGCTGCATTTGACCATCTCTCCATCCACTACAGAAAGAGTCCAGTGTGAATTTCTGGATATAAGCACCTGAATTAGATACCAGGAATCCTTTAGATGTATCCCACATCTTCACTGCAGACCTTCTCCAGCATAGTTTGAACAGGGGAGCAGGGACATGGTGAGACTCTTGGGGATGGTCCTGTGCAGGGGTGAGAGCTGGACTCAATGATCTTTGTTGGTCCCTTCCAACTGGGCATATTCTGTGATTCTGTGATGGGTCTTCCTCATGTTTCTTTCTTTTCCTTGGAAAAAACTTGCCTCTGAGTTTTAGTCCCTCTTTTTTTTTTAGCCATTGCTCAAGGCTTTTTATTCCTTTCCTGTTTTTTTTTTTTCAAATACTTAACTCTGTCATTGTACAAGAGACAGCTGAACCAGATCAAAAGCGTGTTGACATCAATGTGTGTCGTTGTCACTGCTCCTTCCCTTAGTAATCATCTCTGTGTTGTCGTGGTTGATTCACTCCCATGGCCCCCTCTCAGATCTTGGCCACCTCACTTTGCAAGGAGGGGTTTGGTCAAGGATCTCCTCAAGGTCACACAGCAAATCATTGGCAGAAACAGGAGGAGGACCTGGGAGAGCTGCCTGTCCATTATCCTGACCATCAAAAGATGTTCAAATGAAACACAGCGATACATTTTGTACCAGCCCCAACAACAAGAGATGCTGTGCTGTGCTGGAGGGGGCATCTCCCAGCCCAGCTGTCCCCTGTTAAGCTCCAGATGCAAAGTCCATCCTTGAGCAATGGCCTCCACCACAGGTGACCTTCTGCCTTTTGTTTCCAGCCCAGATGCTGTCAAAGTGTTGCTTCTCTGTTGGCAGTTGAATAAAATCTGTAACTTGCCCTAAAATTGATGCTCATTAACAGGCTTCAATGCCACCACCTTCCCATGTTTCCAGCATCCTCAAAAAGGGGGTATTTTTTAATCTTTTGCTTCACTTAAACTGTCCCAAGCTGCAGGAGCAGGGGAGTCTTCCCAATTGGTACAACCTGACCACATATTCATCCTCCCTGATCCCCAGGGATTTATTTATTGCTCACCTGACTTGGAGTTCTCTCTCTCTAGGCTTAGCTTTGCCCACCTCTGACTGACCATATGTTTAATTATATCTATGAAAACGACAGGGAACATCCTTTGCCACGTTCCAAAGCTTTGGTGTTCACACAGAGAAAATCTCTCACTTCATTATTGCTCTTCTTGCAGCGTCTTGATGTGCTTTGCAATGAAGCCAGAGTCATGGGATATTTGCATGGCTGGAAAGGATTATTCCCTCTATTTTCCAGATGACAAACTTTGGCACAGAGAAGTGAAGTAGCCAGTGTGAGGTCTCCCAGCAGCACAAGACCCAAAATGATCATCATAAACTAAAAGTTCCCAGAAAACTCTATTTCTAAAGAGCCATACAGCGTGTCTCCATCATCTATGGGTCTCACTGCACTGAAATAAATAAATATGTGACAGGTGCAGCTTTGGGAGGGCAACAGAGAGGTGGAAAAAAAATCATTCATGAGGGATAAGTAACACTGATGTCACTTGTCAGCTTTTGTTGTTTCTACCCACAGCATGGTCCAGCTCCAGTGAGTTTGCTGATGTGCTGTTTATCAAGCAACAGCATCAAGGAATGCAAATCACTGAGAGGAAAGTAAAGAAGGAGTAAATAAACCAGTTGTGAGAGGAGGAGGAGCTCCCTCTGATGTAATCACTAGGTCCATTCTTCACAGGTTCCAGGAAGGATGTGCAGGAGTAAACTAAGTTTTATAGATGTCAAAACTTCAAAGTCCAGTCACACTGTCATCCATATCCTGCATTTTTTTTTCTTTCCTACATTAAGGAAATTTTAGCCACCAGCACGTCAGTAATTGGTGGGGAATGTGCTGAATTTAACAAAGTATGTCATGTAGGAACATGTTACATGTATGATCTCACATGAGCATCATAGTTCATGAGAAAACAGAAGAGGGGCAAACTTTCCTAAAGGTTTTTGTTTATGAAAGGTTCCTCACTGTCCACAAAGATCCCTGGGTCACTCTTCTACTCTTCTACTTCTCCGACTTACCCTTGAAGGGGATATTAGATCAAAAAAGGACCTTGATGTTTCTGGGAAGGCAAATGGTGATATAAACTCCTCAGAGATCCCTCCCAGCTCTCCAGCATTGCTGTGCCCTCCCAAGCCACCCAGTAGAGTAGAGGCTGAGGTTCAAGCACCACTTACCATCACCTTGTGCCTTCCAATGAGATTTGGGGACTCACAGAGCAGCTGCACATCTGACACAGTCACTGCACAGGGTTTCTCCCCAACCAGAACGGTGTAGTTCAGCTTGGCATTCCCTCCTGCCACTGGTGGGATCAGGTTCTTGCCCTGGACAGAAAGGAATATCACCCCACAAAATCAAATAAACACCAGCAAAAAGTTTTCTTTCCCCTTGTAGTTCATTCCTAGGACACAAGTTTTGACATTGCACTTCATAGCTGTGGCTGCCCCATCCCTGGAAGTGTCCAAGGCCAGGTTGGACAGGGCTTGGAGCAACCTGGGATAGTGGAAGGTGTCCCTGCCCATGGCAGGGAGTGGAACAAGATGATCTTTAAGGTCCCTTCCAACCCAGACCATTCTGCGATTGTTATGACATTTGTAGTTCACCATTTGCTGACACAAAGAGGAAAAGCCAAATTAGGAAGTCAACATGAATGGCTAAAGACTCAAATCAGGCACAACAGCCTGTCCTGCTCCCTTCTCTCTGGAACTGAATTAGAAATGTTGCATCTAGGTCTTGCACGATCAAGTACTCACTAAACATAGTCAGGCAAGGAAGACAGACCCCCCCTCCAAACGTGCAAGAAGCACAATCATCTCTTTGCATATGCACCACGTAAAAGAGCTGATACAGAAATGTTCCATCATAAAATCCCTCCTCTGTATTGCTGTGCAGACTATAGAAATGACAAAGGGCTGGTTTGGGTTTAAATAGGGGTGAGAGGAAGGTCTTGCAACCCCAAAAAAGAAATAGAGTCGGGTATTTAATTGTCAGCCCTGTTGCAATCATAGAAACTTCTCTCTGGTGAGCAGCAGTTGGTACCAATTTGGGCTGCACATGGATAGTTCCAGCAGGAGTTAATATTTCTTGGTTATGGGTATTGGCAGTGGTTGGTGTTTGCAGATGGTGGCTGATATGATGCAGTGTGGTAGGGCCAAGGAATGGAGGAAGTTTTTGGGATGCCACCATGGTTTGGGGGGTGCTGGCAGGCACAGAGAGTCAACAGGCAACATGTGTTTGTCCTTCCCCATCCAGGCCTTGGTCCCCATCTCACCTTCAGGATGATGGGACTTCCTGGCTTCAGCTCCAGGATCCCCGAGGGGTTGAAAACCTCGAAGATGGGGTTGGGGTAGTAGGTGAAGTTGGTTTTGTTGAGGATCAGCAGGGACTGCACGTTGTCAAGGATGAAGCCAAACTCCTCCGGGCGCTCGGCGAGCTCCGACTGGTGATTGGGGTCCACAGCCAGGGCTGGGGCCTGGCAGGTCATCTCTGTGCTGTTCTGCACCTCACAGTTCTGGGAAAGAAACCCAACACGAGCAGTGTTTGTGGAAAATGTCCCTCCTGGTAGGCAGATGACACCCAGATGCTACCCTACCCACTGCTGGGGGACAGGGAGGAGCAGAACTTTTTGGTTACTGTGTGGACTGATTTTGGTTATTATGGTGCTCCTCTGCTTCAAAACATTCCCCATCCCCATCACGAAATCAAGGCTGGGAAGGGACTAGGAACACTCTGCTGGGGCAGGTGTGTGGAGCAGTTTGCCCTTCAATTGGGCATCCTGTACCTCTTGAGGGAGCTCAGCTTCTGGGGTTGCCAGTGTCAGCATCTTTCCCTAACTTCATTTCCTTCTGGAAATATGAATTCCTTCCTTTTTTTTTTTTCTTTTTTTTTACAGCACCGACTAGTCAAAGTCTCTCTGTCACACTGCAATTAGATCTCTGGGCACCACTCCAAAAGTGCCTGTTGTGCTCAAGATTCCAGTTTGAACATCAGGTTACCTGAAATGAATCCCAGGAAGCTGGAGAGGGGAAGAGATAAGGGTAGGAGACCCTGAAGTTTGGTTCCAGCCCTGCCAAAAACTTCCTTTTTTTTGTGTGTGTTTGAGAAATGAGCAACAGATTGTGACAGGTGTTTTACCCTGACTAAAGGTCTAGGAATTAGATGCCTGGTTGTCCTTTAGGACTTGAGCCTTCATTTTTCCTCATCATAGTTGCTACCATAATGCATCCTGGTCTCACCAGGAACCAACAGGATCTGTGGGGAAACAGCACAAGCTCTGTGGGATCTTTGTGGATTCTCGACATGAGAATCTTCTCCTAACCAGTATGATACCTCCAGCACTGAAAGCACACTCATTATCCCAGCTGGAATTGCCCAAGGGCTAAAAGGTCTTTGGTTCAAATCAGCAGAGAGAGAAGTGACTTGGACCAGCCAGTTCCATATTGTGAGGTCAGTCAGATGTTGTGGGCTGTAACAGCTCTCCCAAGGAACAAAAGGCACTGGAGAACTTCCTGGCAAAAAATTGAATTCTACATGAGCACGTGGGAGGTGATGGATTGGCTTCATCATCTGCACAGCACAGGGTTGTTTGAGACCAGCGTGTCAGGCAAGAGCTGGAGTCTCCTGGGAGAAGAAGTCCTGCAGGCTTCTAATCCTGCAGGAAAGCTGAGAAGGGTTTGGCTGTGCTGCACCAGGAAATACGAGGCATTGCCAAAACACACCCATGAATATCCATGGTCAGCTGGAGCAGGATTCTCCCAGAGTTCATGGGAGACTCTCTGTCAAGATTCACATCAGACCCAGAACCCAACCTCAAGAGATATATCCTGAATCTGGTGAGGCATGAGAGGCAACAAAACTCCTTTGGGTTTGGCTTTCTGAAGGGAGATATTAGTTCATGACAGAGCTGGGATAAGACCAAAATTCAGATGTCTCAACCTCCACACTGCAGATGCAAATGAATTTGCCCCATATATTCCTGCATTTTCTTTTTGGATCCACCACAGTTTTGCTGCTGTTCATGTGGCAGCAGATCATTTGTTGTCTACAAAGCGCTTTGAGAACCTTGGGTGGGAAGTTCATGGATTAATCTGAACACTTGAGAAATGCAGAGGATCTGGACTTTCTGCCCCCAAGCCAATTATTTTTAGAGCCTCTTCTTTTGGGATGGTCTTCCACATTTGGTCCCAAAAAGTGCCCATACATAGCCAACACTTTTTCAGATGCTGTTGTGTGGCCCCATCCTCCAGCCTACTGTAAATACCACCAGGTGTTGCCTATTCCAGAATCTCCTAATTGGAGGTGCCAAACTCACACCTTTTACAGCTCTACCTGGAGCTGCTCAGCAGCTACTGGCAAGTGGCTCCTTCTGAGTGAATTATCTCCTAGACCTTGACTCTGCTGGTCTCCTTAGAGCTTCTTCTGATTCCTCACTGAGAGTTGAATTAGGTTGTAAATCTAACTGGCTAAACTTGGATAATCTCCTACAGGATCCCAAATAGCCCATGGAGTGGACGCAGTAGTACCAAAGAGTGTTATTCTGACCCAAACATGCTCAGTTTATAACCTGAATTTGGGCCTTCTTATGCACATAAATAACACAGGTTATACATGTGACAAGAGAGAGGACAGATGTCATTGAGCCAACAGAAGAAACAGGTTTAGAAGAGACCAGGAACTTCATTACACCCCTCTCATTCCCCTCTTTGGTCCTATACTCCTTCAGGGACGAGGTAATGTTCTGGAAGCAAGTCACGCCCTCTTTTTGGGATGCAATTCCAAGCTGCAGAGCTGTTAGCCAGCCCCTAACACCACCATGGCCATGTCCCCTCCCCAGCCCAGCAGCCACACTCACGTTGACGTGCTCCTTCCCACCGTGCTTCGCCCGGATCTGAGGGTTCTGGATGAGATCCAGGTGAGTTCCCCACACTGCAATGGGTGTGTTGCCACTAGAGAAGAAAGGGAAGAAAATAAAGAACCCAGCCAGTAGATATCAGGACTGATCCCACCGAAAATGTGTGATCTGTGTTTCTAAATGCTGGTTGCAAAGCATGTGACCACATCTCGCAGTGCCACGGGGAGGGAAGGAAGAACAAAACAAACAAATGATTTTTCATTCATTCATAAGGAGAGAAATAACTAAACCCACATGTTTGCTAAAGCTGTCACATCAGGCAGAATCTGGATGTTTTTCATTGCCAGGACTCAGCAATCACAAGAGTTGACAATGGGAGGAAAGGTGGAGATTTAACAGGGGCTCCTCAGAAGGTCCATGGGCTTTATCTCCTGTATTGCTTCAATCAGTCCCAGAATACCCTGAGTTGGAAATGAGCCACAAGGATCATCAAAGTCCAGTTCCTGGCCCTGCCCAGGACACCCCAACAATCCCACCACGTGTCTGAGAGCATTGTCCAAATGCTCCTTGAGCTCTGGCAGCCTTGAGACCATGACCATTTCCCTGGGCAGCCTGTTCAGTGCCCAACCCAAAAAGCCCTCATAGATACTGTCCCATGCAAGCAGCTCTTGAGGATTCAATGCTACCTGGTTGAGGTCTGTAGTCCCATCTTGCATATTAAACCTGCCATAAAACTTCACCCTGAACAAGAAAATGCCACCTCACTGAACAATTTTTGGTGCTGCTGAGGAGCCCAGTCCGGCAGCATCTACAAAAAACCAAGCCAAACTCTTCAGCCTTGGTGTGCAGAAGGTGTTGCCTTGGTGACCCAGGCAGATCAACTCTGCCACGTGTGTTGGATCCAACATATGACAGCACAGAGATTTCCTCTTGCTGCATCCCTTTGCTCAAAGACCAGTTTCCTGAGAAAGCCAATCCATCCAAATCACAACCTACAAGGCTCTGGGAGATTTTCTCCATTTTCTAACAGCTCTCTCAGCCCAGATGAGATGGGGAGCTGCAAATGGAGTTCATTCCCTGCAATCACTGTCACCAGAAGGAAAGAGCTTTCAGAAACACCCTTCTCTCCTTTCCCTGCCTATTCCAGCTGCAGCCAGTGCTGCTGCTGATTGTGGGACTTCAGGGAGCAGGGGAGAGGGAGGAAGGAAACTGCAAAGGACCATTCCCAGGCTTCAGTAGGGTTGGTTTTGAACCCCATGTTAAGGGGAAGGGTTCACCACAGGCAGCTTTGGCCATCCCAAATTGGAGCAGCCTTGCTCTACCAGGGTGAGCTCTCCCTTTGCTCCATGTGGTGGGGGCAACACGATGCAAGGCCTGGAAGGGGAAGAGTTATCCAAGAAAGCAAAAGCTGCAGCTGTCAGGGCTCCCACAGCCAGGACAGGATGAGGAAATGTCCTCAGCAGACAGGCCCATCTCTGAGGGCTTCCCAGGGTGAAGAGTGCTCTCATCAGATTCAGCACCTGCCTCTATAACTCCCCTTGGAAACTGTCCAGGATGCAATTTATTTCCTTCTGAGAATGGGAGAAATTGAGGGGATTGTGAAAAGGAAGCTCAGAATCCCTTTCCTGCCTCCAGGTAAATCTACACATACAGGAAAGGTGGAACACCTGCATTATGAATGAGGAAACACCAGAGAATAAACACTCTGTGAGGAAGGAGCCAACAGATCTCCCCCATTCCCGACCTTTGTTTTCCTGTTCCTCATTTATCTTCCATTAATAATCAGATGGAGAGGCAGGAATGAATGCAAACAGACCTCTCTGCTCACAGAAGAGCTCTCAGGTTTTGGTGAGCTGGGCACAGATAGTTGGGACTGAGCTTCAGCCCCTCCAGCTGCACCCACACGGATAAACCAAAGAGTTTTGGTTTATCCCAAGAGAATTGGCACAATCATATCCTTCAGCAGCTGCTCCTGTGGACCTTCTCTGAGAGGTTCTCCATGATCTTTCATTCAAGTAATATCTGGACTGGCCCATGTTTAGGGCAACATTTGAGTTTTGCAGACTATCTCAAATTCTTGCTCCCTGAAAATGTCAGCTCTGATGGGAAATTCCTAATGGGAAATTTTATGGGGCAAACCCATGTTTTACCATTTCCATGAGATCTGCTTGGATGGTTGAGCTTTCTTGGAATCTTTTCTGAAGTCATACACCTACTCACAAGAGACTTTCCCCTCTTTGCCTTACAGAAGAAATACTCTCTCCCCAAAATTCACAGTAAATATTCCTGATAACCCCCAGAGAAATATCAGGGAGAACTTGCCCATCTAAAACCATAAGCAAAGTTTATTGATTACTTTGTTCTTTCTCCACTGTCCTGGTTCTTCTGCATTTTTGGCTGTGAGCCTTTACAACAATAATTATTATTGTTATATTGTTATCATTGCCATTATTAACCTTTGCTGATTCAAACTAGAAGGGATTTTGAATCTTTACTCAGCCAAAAGTTTTACACGTTCCAGACCTACCCAATGTGTGCACATACACAGAGACACGTGATAAATAAAATCCCTTTATTTAATCAACCAAGTCTGTGCACACAGTTTTAAACCCAAGTGTTAAAAATTCTCTGTTTGGTTTGGAAACTGAGCTTGCAGGCTCAGACCACAGGTATTAAACACAGCCACAGCACAGGAGCAGAGAGAGGGGAAAAAAGAAGAGGTGATGAAGACACAAAATCACCTCCAAACCCACTCTGGCCTGAAAATGAAGTAAATAAAACTGTTCCTTGCCCTGAAAACCACCAGCCACTTTTGTGCCTGCAGCTGAATGTCCAGTCAAAGCCACCTCTTGACCAGGTCAGATCAGAGCCTGGAGACCTGGTGCTGCCCAGCAAAATGACAGAGGTGCCAAAAGCTTTTTGAGTTTAACTCTTTATTGTCCCCAAAGCCCTGGGTGTAATTTTCTGTCTGCAGACTCAAGTAATTGCTGGACAACTCAAATGAAACCCAGATCAAAAGTATTAATGGAGCCTCATAAAATTCTGTTTACCTGCCAGCCCGGTGTGACTCCTTGTTTTTTTGGCTATAGGAGTAAATCAGCAGTAATCTTTTCTTTATCATCTTGGAAAATGTCTCTTGAAAAGGTTTTAAGTCAGGCTTGGTACAAGCAATCCCTGATTTTGCAAAGCTGGTTTAGTAGCAATCATCTGTCCCTCAGAACAGCTCAGCCCCACAGCCAGGAGTGATGGATCAGAGGAGCACAGTGGATTTGCTGTAATAAATCATTCCACATAACAAATATACTGAGCAACAGTCTCCACATCCAAATGTCTTGTCTGACTTAGCTCTTGCTTCACTCTCAGGGCTGGAGTTGGCTGTGCTTTCATCCAGCTCTGTGTGCTGTGCTCACACTAATGCTCGTCCCCATCACAACCTGCTGGATGGAGCTCCACAGTTACAGGGCTTAAAACTGTCCCTGACACCCTGAACATCCTGGATATTCCATTTCTCCCTCTGCACCCTCCTCCAAGGTTATGCACCTTTGGAATGACTCAAAAGTGCACAAGAAAGAGGATGAGATTGGGTAGGTCTGGATAAAATCAGACTCCTGTCATTGCTCAATAGATCCTTTCTGATTTCAGGCTCTGAACAAAGCAAAGGGTAGAGGTTGTGCCTGAAGGTGTTTCCTCCCTGGAAGTGTTCAAATCATCCCTGGAAGTGTTTGAAAGCTGTGTGGGTGTGTCATTTGGGAATATGGTTTAGTGGTGAACACTAAATGTTAATGATTGGACTCAAAGATCTTAGAAATCTTTTCCAATATTAATGACTCTATGATTCCATGAATGAAGAGACAAGTGGAATCCCAGTCATCCATCCTGGCAGCTACACACCCCACAAATAAGCTGGTACCTCCTAAACAAGCAACTCATCTTAATTTCCTTTATCTTGGGAGTTGGGATGGGAGATCCAGTTCATCAGGACACAGAGTCCCTCCAGGCTGGGCAAAGCTTTGCCAAAGCACCTGAAACACCTTCTTGGCTGCTTCTTCATGTATTACTGGCATTTTCAGCAGAGAAAACAAGGATCAAACAGCTTCTGAACCTCTCACCTCCCAGACCTGAGGCCAGACTGAGGAAGGTCCCCATGCTGAAGCTTTCCTGGGGATATCAAGGAATTCACTCTCCTAAGTGTCAATCTTACACCTTTTAAGCAGCACTGAACTCACTTTAATAAGGAAAGGAGTAAAGTGATTTCCCATCTCACTGATAACCTGGACTCTGCCTGAAAATAAAAACCCCAAAAGGAAAATCCCAACACTAAAGCTTCAAGGCCAACGTGTAAAGACTCAATCTGGCTAAATCAGTGAATTCCCTCACGGTAATTAAAGGCACTAATTGATTTGTGAAAACATCTTTGGGATGGGAGCTGAACTGGGGGGGATTTACAAGCCCTGCTCCTAATCCCCAGATACTCCAATCAGTCCAGTTTGACAGGGGAGCAGAGAGCTGTGGGTGAATGAGGGGAGACTGAGATTCCTTATTTTGTATCTTTTCAAGGCAATATCAGTGCATTTAATGACCAATTTCTCCTTTCCTGAGGCCATTCCTGCAGGCTTCTGAGAGTGTTTGGGTATCACTTGGATACCTTCCACACCCAGGGCAAGTGCTGCTCTCAGACACCTTTGTGTGAACCCTCTGAATTCACCAAAGCAGCATCAGTGGGGTGAGGAGAAAAAGGGATCCCTAACGAGGAGGAAGCTGTTGGAGAGGGCAGGGAACAGGATTCCTTTTGTGTTTCATCTCAGGACAGAGCCCTGGGGCTTTCAGGTGTGATGGCCACACCTGCAATGCTTAGTCCTAAGGCATCAAATCCATGAAGGCTGAGGGAAATGTAGGAATTGCAAACCCATGGAGGCTGAGGGAAATGTAGGAATTCCTGCTTTCAAACCCAAGGGAAATTCACTTCTCTAAGCCCAGTTATGATGTTTAAGCCTGGGTTTAAGGGATCAGTGACTGCTCCTGCTGCCTTGCAAAGCTGTGGGTTCATCCCAATGGGGCCTGAAACACAGACATTACCACAAGCACCAGGAATTGCAGCTTTTAGGGGTACAACTGTGTAGTTTAACCAGCCCCAGTGGCCTGTAAACTTCACTCAGGGAACATCCTGGTGCTGGAGATAGACCCTGAGCTGCAGAAAAGAGGGAGAAAACTTCAGCTCTAAGTTGGAGACCTGCTGCACCCATATTAAGGCATGGAGTCTCCAAGCATGCTGCTGAGCATTAGCAGCTGGATTTTGCTGCATTAAACCAAGAAGTTTTGTTCTGATAGTGAAGGCAGGGTGCAGGATCATTTAGTTTGGACTATGCAGAGTTTGTTTTGACAAAAGACTCTTATCCTGCTCATCCCTCACTGGAACCTGTGGAAATTTTGCCCCAGGGTACCCACTGAGCAACCAAGGTGTTACTACCACACACGATGCACTGTCGGACTTCTTGTCTTCTCAGGAGGCAAAGTCACCAGCCCTCATTGTTTGGGCTCTGAGAAGCAGCTCTACACAAATTCTTAGTGAACAGAACTCTTGGAAAGCAGTTTTCTGCACCAAGGACCAATATTATCACGGCAGTGCTGCATTGGAAACCATGGGGGGTGGCAGGGGGTTCCCATGGGATGCTCACCTGAAGATGCTCCACTCAGGCTCGATCCTCAGGATGGTTGGATCCTCTACATATTCATAGTGCAGCTCCTGATGTATCTTGGCCTTGTCCACTCTCACAGACACCTTCACCTTCTCAAAGCCCTCATAGGAGGCAGTGGTGTTACAGACAATGTGCTTGGTGGATCTCCTGGGAGAAGAAGCAAGTAAATATAAACCAACAGCAAAACAAATGGTGTCAAAAAGAGCCCAACTACTCATTCTTGTGTCCTGTGACCTAAAGCTGTGCACTGTGAAGTGGTGAAAGTCACTGCTCCAGGAATATGGTGTGAACCGTTTATCTGAGGAAGTGACACTGTGTTGCTTTTTCACTAGTTTAAGTAAAACCACAAGAGCCATCATTTCTCAGGGCTCAGAGTGAAAACTGAACCCCAAGGGAAGTCCAAGCCAGGCCTGTCTACAGAAGTATTTGTCTGTGATTAAATATTTGATGGGTGTTTCCTTCCTGCCTGTGGACAGATGCAGCAGCAGCTCATAAAAGGGGTGTTTGCACCTCAGCCTTCCAGCCTGGGATCATAAAGTTTGCTTTGCATTAGGACTGTAAGCCTTGTTTAAGTGCACTTTGCAGCGTGCCTGGGACCTTTGGAAAGTGCTAATACAGTGGGGAGCATTTTATGATTATACTCAAAGAGGATTCTGCATAAACTTTTCCTTTTGGGCTGGGCTCAAAACCAGCTCCAGGTCTGAATTTTGCAGCAGCCCTTTCCTTCCACAGTGAGCCAAAAATTCAGGCTCCAAACACCCTCAGTCTCCCCAGTCTTGTGATTTGTGATGCAGCCTCATCTTCCACTCCTAGAAAGGGAGGACAAGTCACCTTCAGTGGCTGCACCTCCGTGTACCCCCCAAAATTCCCCTGAAAGACAATGTTCAATCATTCCTAAAAGTCTCCAGTCTCTTCAATAGGCATCTCCGAGCAGCTGTGGCTCCCACTTGGCATTTTAAATCACAAGCTGTGACTTCAGCCTCCCGAATTATAGATGCTGAATCACACCAGAGTCATGACAGGCAGCTAAAGAGGATCCCCACAGCCAGGAGAGGGAAGGGCATTGCCCCAGGGCAGCGCTCCCAGGTCTCCTGTGAATGAGCCCTTGCTCTGCCAAGGACATATTGGGAGAAATGTGCCAACTTCATCTTCAGCTTCCACCGACACTGGCAGCAAAATGTGTGGCACTGGGTAGTTTTGAGCTGCAGGAGCCCCTGGGAATGGGATTCAGGCTTATTCTCACAGGGATCAGGGAACATTCAGCAGGTAACACTGACATTGAGCTTCTCTGAACTGCAGTTGAACAGGAGCCAACCCAGAACTAAAACATTGCAAATCATCCATTTCTTAGCACTACAGGACTATTCTGGGATAAAAGGGAGGTGGTTTAATGCTCAGAACTGATGTTGTCAGATTTTCTTTGTCACCTCTCCTAAAGCAGGGACACGAAAATGAATCTTTTAAACGACGTACTCCCGGCGCAAGTAGCAAAGCGCGGGACCGTGAAGAATTGTAGTGAGATTTGACAAGAGGCCACGGGAAAAAGCACATCAAATACCAATCAAAACAATGAAATAAATCCTATTCTCTCTCCCCAAAGCATGCTCAGTAAGGCTGTGCATGGTGCAGAATGCACAAGTCCCATTGCTGCACAGACACGGCCACGGGCAAAGGAGGCACTTGAGGGACAGGTTGCAGAAGCCCCTTGGCTATAATTGCTCACATCTTTCACACCCAGGCAGGAACGGGAGCAAGGACTCATCTGTACCTGTAGAAGAGGCAGGGCTGTCTCCCAAAGGTCACGATGACGTTGCTGCCAGCGTTGAGGTTGTTGCCTGTGATTGTCACCTGGGTGCCACCCGACACTGGTCCCCGCTTGGGCTTGAGGTCAGAGAGAGTCAGAGTCTGTGAAGGCAAAGGGTGGTGTTGAAAAGACAGCAGAGGAGCAGAGGTACCTGGCCTCTCTTGTTTCAGTTAATCATGTGGCACATGATTTCAGAAGATGACCATGCCTTCTGGCCAATAGAGGACACCAGTCCTAACACAGACATCCTGTTTGAATGCCAGGTGGGGTGGGATGAGTTCAGACCTTACCCCAGTCTGTTCTCCTCACCTCTGCAAAATCAGACCTGCCCTTGTATCCACTCAGAAATACTCTGCTTCCAAAGGCAGTTCCATGCCTGAAGCAGCTGGAGCCATGATCTCCCTTCTCCACTGCTTGTTTGACACAGCTTGGGTGTCTTTTTGCTGTCATGCAACACCAGCTCTGTGAGATAACTCGGGTCTTGAACTGCTTGTTTGGATCGTAATGGGGAATCTCCACTTCCAAAATTTGGAGCTCACAAGGGGGGAAAATGGTTTGGTATTGAAAAGATCACTCAACCCTATTGATCTGAGAATCACAGAATCACAGAGTGGTTTGGGTTGGGTTGGAAGAGACTTTAAAGACCATCCAGTTCTACTCCCTGCCATGGGCAGGGACACCTTCCACTAGACCAGGTTGCTCCAAGCCCTGTCCAACCTGGTCTTGAACACTTCCAGGGATCCAGGGGCAGCCACAGCTTCTCTGGGCAACCTGTGCCAGGGCATCACCATCCTCACAGCCAAGAATTCTTTCCCAATATCCCATCTAACCCTGCCCTCCTTCACTTTAAAGCCATTCCCCCTTGTTCTATCACTCCAGGCCCTTGTCCCAAGTCCCTCTCCAGCTCTCATGGAGCCCCTTTAGGTACTGGAAGGGGCTCTAAGGTCTCCCCAGAGCCTTCTCTTCTCCAGGTGAACACCCCCAAGCAGAGAACAGAACCTGCTGTAGGGTTCCACAGAGATGTCTGTAACCTACCCCTGCACTCACAGGATTTTTCCCTGGGATGAAGGAGAGCTGTGCTTCAGCAGAGAATCTGAGCTTGTTTCTTGCTTCTCCCACATGCCCACACATGACCCCTGATCTTTCTCTTCTTCTTCTCAGATTTGGATGCTGAGACAGCCCAGTCCTACAGGAGTGTCGTGCACTGACACAGCATGGCCTTGCTCAGGTTGAGTGTCCCCTGAAATGCCACAGCCACAAAAACCAGCACTGCCCACATGAACACCCTTTTCTTTTCTCTGCTGCCTTTCAGAGCTTCTTTTCCAGGCATAACACAGTGCTGTGTTAATATATCAAAAAAGGCCACAATTCCTTTAGAGGCCCCAAATCTCAAACCTCTTTTTCTCACCCTCCTGCCCTCCCTTCTTCCCCGAATCAAGATAAAATACTTGCACTCTGAAGGCACAGATCACCCTGTTACCACAATGCAGAGAGGAGACATCAATTTTCAGGGAAAAATTTGGAGTTACAGTTTATTCTTTCATTTGCATTTTAATAGAAAAACTTTCCATTCAGTCCCAAGTGAAAAGCTACTATATGCATTTAAATGAAGATTATTTCTTTCCCCCTCTCTTTAAGAATGATGACACAAGTGCTTGAAGCTCTCAGCTCCTCTGAACGAGCAGGTACATCACGCAACCACCTTATTGAGCTTTGGAGACCATTAATCCATGTTTATAAAACCACCTGACACACACCACAGCTCCCACTTTCACACACACAGAGCCTTCTCTGTTCCTGTCCCACCCTGGTTAATCATTTTGAAAAACAGCGGCCAGATTTCCATTTTGCTTCTGTTTGAAATGCAGCTCTTAGAGGAAGGGCAGAACATGAAAATCAGACACACAGCTCTGTAGAAGGATCTGTTGTCAGAGCTGGGCACTTCTCCTGTTTAAACTCGAGGGTTTGGAAGCTGTTTTTATACTTAGAATCACAGAATTATTAAGGGTAAAAACGACCCCGAAGATCATCGAGTCCAAACGTCAAGCCAGCACTGCCAACCCCACCACTAAACCACATCTCTAGGCACCACATCCACGTGTTTCTTCAATGCTTCCATGGACAATGGTTCCACCACTTCCCTGGGCAGCCTTGACATCCCTTTCCATGAAGAAACTTTCCCTAATATCCAACTTAAGCCTCATCTGGAACGACAGGCTGGGAATGGCCAACTTGGTGCCCAAAGCCCACACAACAGCACTGCAATAGTATCTGACTCACAAACCACAGAGGAACACTTGAGTTAAAGACTCAAAATCCTTGTCCCACCCCTGGATGGGTTTCCTGCCCTCTCCTCAGAGGTGGATAAACCAGCCAAGCCCTTTTGAGGATCCTCACCAGCAACACTCCTTGGCAAAGCGTTGCTGTGTCGCGGGCCAAGCTTACAAATGGGTTTGTGGCTGAGCTTTCAAAGTTGTGATAAACCATTAATTATTCACAGTGGCCTTCATAAATATTGCAAAGCGTGTTCACAGTACAGCTCAGCCTCCAGACTATTCACCATTTCCTTGCTGGTGAAAGGTGATGAAGAATGCAAGCTTTGGCTCTCTAAAAGGCTGAAGTGGACAGTGACAATGAGGGAAATTGGAAAGGAAATCTGCACCTTTCAAGGATTTTGCCAACTATCCTCAGCTCCCCAACCTTATGCTTTCCTCCAGCATCTCCTCCACACAGGCTGTCCACCATCAGAGCTGTGTCTGATGACCTCATGGTGCATGTCAAGACCTTGATTCCCATTTCATTCCTCCTGGGGACAAGGGTGGAGCAAGATGTGACTCACACAAGGGTTTCCTTCTTATAGATTCAACAACAGCAGCAAGAGAAAGATGGAAGAGATGCTCTCCTAGGACCAGGATTTAGGAGCAGACCCAGAAGAAATGCAATCAGAGTATCCCACATCACCTGCACTGAGACACAATATTCTCATCTAAACCCAGAATAAAGGTAAATTTGCGTCAGCACCTGAATTGAAAAGTGAAGATAATTTATTTTTTTTTAATGGAAAGACTGTGGCAATAATCACAGTAAGAAAATGAATAACTTTGAAAAAAAAATTTCATTTAGATCATCATAAATTTAATTTCAGCTTTGTTTCCCTTTTGGCTTATTGTAGTCTCTAATGCAATGTGCAGTCTTCGATCACAGACAAATTTAAAACAAACCAACAGCCTTTTGAATTTAAAAGTTCTCATTAGAAATGTGGAGAAGAACTGTTGTGGCACCACTAAACGAAGGTGCCTCTTTGTTAAAACACTGAAATTAAATACTCTGATGAGCTCAAAACACGACATCTTCCAATTCTTACAGGAGAGAGGGAGGCTTACTGGCCAAATTTTGGCAAGTTTTGCCTCAAACCTTTTGAAAAGCAATTTTCCAGAGGATTTACTGTGAGTCAGAAAGCCACATTTATCTCCCTTCCTTACTTTTCAAACATCTTCCTTCCCTTCAAGCTGCCAAGGATGCCAAGGCACGTTGAGATGCATTCGCATCTCTGCCCTCCTGGCAGGAGCATCCAAGGAAGCCAAAAAACACAGCTCCTGATGTGAAAACACCGGACACAGGAGAGGGAATATGATGGGCAGGTTGGAGACCCTCTGTTTTTTGGGGATTTTTCTTGGTCTGACACAAAGCTACCGAGGTGTTGAGCAGTGAAAGCCCTGCTGACTCCGAGCTCCTGCACGGCTGGGAATGCTGGCAGTGGAAAAGCTGTCACAGATGGACACGGATGATCAAAACCAGACAGTAATTCCAAGAGTGGCAAAGGTGACACGTTGAAGTGTAATGTCCTGGAAAGAGCCCTTCTGTCTGCCTGGCAGGGGCTTTGTCCTGTGGTGTTTCTCCGCCCCCACCCCGGTAACACCTGAGTGACATCGGAAAACGCGGAGAACGGAGAAATGCCCGTGGCTTGAGGGGGAAACCTGAGACATTTGCATTCATTACAAGTCCCTTTACGATCAAAAAAAATGCTCAGGCATGTGAATAATTACAGAAAAGTCCCATTCCCTTGCAGGAGTCAAGAGCTTTTGATGGGAACAAAGAGACCCTCTCATGTCAAGCCCGCACAGATCTGCACAGATCAAGGCCAGGCAACGCTTGCATGTCCCCAGCAAGGGGCCTTAGAGGAATAATCAGGTCTCTTGGACAAGGAACACCATCAGAAAGGAGAAAAAAAAAACAAGTCAAGTGTACAACATGTGTTTGTGCTTGAACTGAAGTCCCAGCTTGCAGATGTCCACCGTTTCATCGTGGAGCATCCAAAAGAGTTGCCCACTTGCACTGAGCCCCAGTCACATCCTACAGCTCCCCAGCAGCCTAATCTGGATGTGTCCTGATCCCAGGGCTGCTGGGATGGATGGGATGAAGAAACCCCTGGGGGAATCCAAGAGTGAGGAGGAAGAAACCCCACCATGAACATCACACTCCTGCTGAAGACTCAGAAGTAATGACTAGTGGCAACCCCCAAGTTTCTTCTGGAGGACACTGGTTTTTTTCCATTTTCTTCTTTTTTTTCCCCTTCTTTTTTTCCCCCTTTGTTCTTTCCTGTACAGCATTTTTAACTATTAATGAGAATTTTCTGTACTAATTTGGACTGTGGCCGTATGGAACTGTAACTGGACTAATAATCTGGACTATTATTAGATTGTTAAAACTTTAATTAGACAAGCTATTTTTTGCTCAGAACAAGATGTTGAAAGGAAATGGAATGAACAATTTGGTGCACTCAGTACTACTGTGAAGAGCTCAGAGTTTCAATATGATCAAGGACAATGGGTAGATGCAGCAAAGGGGACCAAGGCCTGAGGACCTTCAGGACCAAGGAGAACTTCTTGCAGGAACTTACCATGAAGTAATAGAGCTGTGAAGATCTGGCCATGAACTCTGGTTTGCACTCAGCCACACAGATTTCCACAAATCCAGCATGCTGGCTGGGCTTGGCCTCCCCCATCTCACACACTATCCTGTGGAGAAAACACAAACCAGAAGCAAAGTTTGAGGGGTGGTTTGATGGTGTGGGTAAGATGGAATTGGAAAAAATGAGCCCAGAGTGCTGGGGAATGGACTGTAGACTTAACCCATCCTGTCTAATCCAGAATCCAAACTGTGGACTAGGTTGAGCTTTAGAAAGTGGTGGCCTTTGGCTGTTGGTACTTGGTGAGACACACGCTTTGGTGGTGTAAATCTATATAGTTTCACTCAAATATACTGAGAAATTCTAGGCTGAGGTTTGACCCTGTGAGTCCCTCTGTCTTCGAGCTGTGCATGGTGGAGGCAGCTGTAAGGTTAATGATCACTCCTGCTCAGAGTGATCTCAGGATTGCTGCTGCCCAAACTGGAACTAAACACCCCTGTGGTGTCTGTTTTGTGAAAAACAGAGGGTAACCATGGCATAAGTCATGAGAATCATCTAAACATGCCATCCAAATACAGTAATAAATGGATTATCAGCTCCTGAGCTGCACGTGGGGAACGGCAGCTTCCACTCCTCAGCTCCCAAGTTGAGTGGAATGGACTCCTTGGAAGGTCCTACAGGGATGACTGTCATTAGGTGTGCAGTGGCCCACTGTCTGCCACACACCCCACTTACTGCTCTGCAGGGATGTACCCTTCCACCAGAGGTTTGCACTCCACGCCGGCCACTTTGACGTGGGACGCGATGTCCCGGAACTCCAGCCCCAGGTTCTCCCCACGGATCGTCACCTTGGTCCCTCCCTCGCGAGGGCCCGTCACTGGGTTGATCTGTGAACAAGCCGAGAACAAGGAGAATAATCAAACCACTTCTGGAAATCACAGAATCACAGAAGCAAAGAAAAGACCAGTGAGATCATCAAGTCCAACCTGTGACCCAACACCACCCTGTCACCCAGCCCATGGCACTGATGCCACATCCAGTCTGTCCTTAAAAACCTCCAGGGACGGTGACTCCACCCCCTCCCTGGGCAGCCCATTCCAATGCTTGATCACTCCCTCTGTGAAGAATTTCTTACTGGTGCCCAACCTAAACCTCCCCTGGTGCAGCTCAAGGCCGTGCCCTCTTGTCCTACTGCTGGTTCCCTGAAGCAGAGCCTGACCCCCCCGGTTCTCTCCTGGCAGGGAGTTGCAGAGAGTGAGGAGGTCTCCCCTGAGCCTCCTCCTCTCCAGGCTGAGCCCCCCCAGCTCCCTCAGCCTCTCCTCCCAGCACTTGGGCTCCAGTCCCTTCCCCAGCCTCGCTGCTCTTCTCTGCCCCTGCTCCAGCCCCTCCAGGGCCTTCCTGAGCTCAGGGCCCAGAGCTGGACACAGCACTCCAGGGGTGGCCTCCCCAGCGCCCAGCCCAGGGGCACAAGCCCTGCCCTGCTCCTGCTGCCACACTCTTCCTCAGCCAGCCCAGCAGCCATTGGTCTCTTGGCCACTTGGGCACACCTGGCTCCTGTTCAGCTTCCTGTCAATCAGAACCCCCAGGTCCCAGAATCCTCTCAGGTGAAAGAAGAGCCAATATCAGGTCTTTTTGTGACCACTAGAGACACTCATAAACACTGCACAACTGAGGAAACAAACCTACTCCGAATGCCTCACTCAGTCCAGACCCCCTGCAAATATATATCCCACATACCCCAGCCTCAGAGTATACAAAATTCTGCTCCACATCCCGTTTCCTCCCTTTTAACTACTTGCAAAACATCCAGAGATGAGCAGAAGATGTTTTCTAGGTAGGAGAAGTGATTTCTGGTGGTGCAGCTGAGCTCTGTACTTTATAGACATGAGCCATGGAAAGGTGGGAGAGGGGCATGATGGAAAGAAATGGGATAAAGGACGTGGAAAGGACATAAGTGACTTCAGCCAGTCACTTTAAATCCTAAATTCCCAGTCCAAAGCACATGGAGTTTTTGATGTGTTCTGGAGAACAGGTCATACATCACAAACTCCACTGAAAACGTCCACCTGTAAAACCAGCCAAGACAGAACAGGAACAGGGTGTCAGATTAGGTGTGGGGAAGGGTGAGTGGGGACTGAGACAGCAACAGCAATTAGACTGTGCCAACACCTATTTCTGAAAGAGCTCCAGCTTCCCTCAGGGGAATATTTTCCCTCAGGGTGCCATTGGAAGGGCAGGAATGGGAGTATGGACAGATTATTTGTGGAGTGGGAGGCTTCTGATCCCCAACATGAGATAAGCAAGTATCCCAACCATCCTGGTGCCTGCTGGGAATGATGTTTACACCCCAACTGGCCCTCACCAGCCCCTAGCAGGGTTGGGATCACTGTGTCTTTCTCCATCACCCTTGTCCAGAGCCAGGTGGAATCAGCACAGGAGCTGCCTCCTCGATGCTGGAACAGCACTGAAATCCTGGGGCTGGCCCATAATTATCTCCATTGTGCCCTTCCAATTATTCCCTGTGCCCAAAAGCTCTGCCATGCAACTGGTTACTTGAAAGGGGTTCAAACACTGCTTTGAAAGGGTATTCCCTGCTGCCCGCTCAGGATGCCATGGATGCCATCTGCCAGCCTTGGCAAGGCTCTCTCTGCAGTGAGGGAAGGGGAATTCCCTGTCTGAGGTCTGAGGTCCTGCCCACTCTGCCAAGTGGGAATCTGGGTTGGCAGCTACGCCTTTCCCTAGCAGTTGGACTGGCAGGGAAAGTCAAGGCATTGGGATAAACTGCTCTTCCTCACTTCCCAGCACTGAGTCTGGCACCAGGATCAGTGTAATTCCCATCCAAAGGCCAATTTTTAGAAGGTCCACCTTTAATAAAAAGAGAGACAATCTGGCACCTTTAGGGGATATTTTATTTCGGGACGTTTTATTTTAGGATATTATATTTTAGGATATTAATTTTAGGTGCCATGAACCACCTCCTCGATGAGGGTGGCTTTGCTCTGACTTCACAGGGAACCAATAGAGGTTATTAAATTAATAGCACAGATGATCACAGAGCAGTTCTTGGACCCAGAGGGTTGTGTGGCATAGTCACAACCTCTACAGCACAAGATCCCTGCAGCAGTCCCATCTCAGGTCCAAAAAACAGGCAAATACCACTTGAACCAACAAAATCAGAGCCCTCAGAGGTTTATTCCGACTCCAAAAGTCAACAAGATACTGAAGCCCTAAAAAGAAAATAAATAGTACAACATTCATAAACCTGACAGGTGAAAGGATTATTTGGGTTGGCTGGAGATTTGAACTTTGGGTGGTTTGTGGTGATGAGATTAATAGACAAGGAGAAAATAGATTAAAAAAGAAAGAAAGGAAGAAAGGAAGGAGAGGAAAGAAGGAAAAGAAGGAAGGAAAAGAAAGGAAGGAGAGGAAGGAAAGGAACGAAGGAAAGGAAGGAGGAAAGGAGAAAAGAAGGAAAGGAGAGAAAGAAGGAAAGAAAGAAAGAAAAAAAGAAAGAAAGAAAGAAAGAGAAAGAAAAGAAGGAAGGAAGAAAAAAGATTTTGTGGTTATTTTCCAGGAAAAGAGGAAGGTTTCCTAAAAGATGAGAATGAAAATAAAATTTCTATTCCAGGAGAAACCAGTATTGATTGTCTCAGCTGGGGAATCAACACTGAAAACCTTTAAAAAATGGCATTTCCAAAATATTTTTATGCTGAATAATTAATAAATATCTATTCAAGCAAAGTTTTTCTATTTAAAAGATTTATTTTGCTGATGTCAGTTAATCCCCTCCTGATAAAACACTATATCAATGATGCCAGAAGGCTGGAATATATCACCATACCAAATGCAATCTCACATGTTCTGAAAATTAAAAAAAAAGAAAGATAAACTAAAATTCTTATGTTTTATTTTGTTTCCTATATCTACACATATTTTTTAAGAGAACTGAGTTCCCCATGGAATATTTTGGTCCTGTTTGTGGTGTTAAACTTGCCATTAAATGGTTTTTATTTGTTCTGGTAAGGTGGCTGTCAGGTAGGGGAGGTGTGTGGTTAATTAGGGCTCACCTATGTTTTGAAGAGCTTAAAAGAGGATTTTTTTTCTCAAATGAGTCATGTCTTTACCCTGAATAAAGAAGGTGCAGTGGTGAAAAAGAAGATCTTGCTAGAAAAGCCCTTTTCTTTAGAACTAGGGGTGAGTTGGAGACCAAATTTTCCCTGCAGAAGTCACCAAAAAAAAAAAACAAAACCTCATTGGAAATACCATCCTCCTTCCAGCTCGGTCTAAAGCCTGAGGTTTTAAAAAATTCTTGCTATGACTCAAAAAAACATCAACGGGAAAATTCCCAGAGTGAAGCCAACGGAGCAACTCTGAACCCTCCCCGTGCAGTACTTAATTTGTAAAGGCCAGCTACAAAAATCACTCATTTCCTTAAAACAGGAGGGCCTGGGATTCTCCCGGGAGCACGTGGGAGATGGTTTAACCCCATTTCATTGCACTCCCGTAGGTTCACACAAGAAGGTGTTGCCAGGCTGTTTTCACAGGGGGAGAGAAGGAGCCTGTTCCTATCACAGGTGCAAAAACACAGAATGAGACCTGTCAGTTTTGGGGGAGGAAAACACAGGCAGGGAGACAAAACTGCCAGGAAGCCTCAGTTTTTTCTCCAAGACCCCAGAGCTGCACCACAATTTACACCCTGTGCTCCTGCTTGTCACTCTTAAAGGGGGGTTTTATGGCTCAGCAAGTCCTTTAATTTCCCTGAGTGGCTCCATAAATGCAGGAGCTGGTACAGAAGTGCAGGTTTTGGGGAGCTCTGTGTTCAGAGGGGGGGGGTGTTTGTGGCCATACAAGTGTGAGTTCCTCCTCCTTCCCTGCGCAGATCCAGCCCTGGCTCCTCTCCAGACTTGTGGATGCTCTCCCCCCCCAGCTCCAGGCCTACCATTAGCTGCAATATATATCCAGTCACTTGAGATTACTTCCATGCTAATGGCTCAGGAAAAGGCTTTCCAAGAGCTCCTTATGGTTGCACCAGACAGCTGGAATGTTTCGGGAGCGAGGGTTGCAATGATCCGCTCGAGCTCTGGGAGCTGCTGGAGGAAATGCCAGCAGAATTAGAAGGAGGAGCTGTAGGGTGGAGGATGAGGGGGTTTTCTCTTCAAAAAGAAGCTGTAGATGTAGGGTTGGGGACAAAATATGGCAGAGAAATGTGGGTGGACTCCAGAACATCCTAACACTGCATGTCCTTGTGGTTTGGACTTCTGCTTTAGCTGACCATCCCCATACCAAATTCTGTGAGTGTTTCACAAGGTCTGAGAATCTTAAAATATTTAGAAAAAGATTTCTCCCAGCTCCCAAGAATTTTCAAAGCCTCAAAGTTGAGTATTCAGATAAAATTCTCCATTCTGGCTGGTTGGGCTTGGTTTCACAGCTTTGGGTGGTTCAGGTGGGCTCAAAATTACCAGTCTCAGATAAATCCAAATGTGGTGGAGACCTTCACCTTGGAAACACTGGAATAAGCCACAAACATCAGAATAACTTAAAATCAAACAGTTCAGCTGAGTGAGTACTTTAGAACTGATGAATGACAGGAAGATGTATTGAAACACAGTAAGAGAAGTTCTTTTCAGTGGCATCTGGGAAAAACAGATTCAACCCAACCTTTGCTTTCTCAAAATGTTCCAGCATGGACGTCAGTTTAAAGCTTGTCCCATAACACCCACACTTTTTGATTCTTAACCAAGTACAACTTAAAAAAGCCTTTCTTGCTTTCTAAGAAAATAACCCACCTAATTATTCATACCAAACCACCACAGTGGAGGTTGGATTTTCCTCCTTTGCATTTCCCCTTGTCTTGTCTGTCTCATTTTCCTCCCGATTCTTCTAATTTGCAAAATAAGGCCCTGGCCACATTAAAAGGGTGACTGAGAGATGCTTAAGGCAGGAGGCAGTTGGAAAGGATGGGGCCCTCATTTTCAAGGCTCAGGTCCTTCTGCCTGCCCTGTGACCCTGAAATGGTGCCTGTCATTATGGCAAAGGCATCCTAAGACAGCAGAAAAAAGTCCCTTTAGGCTTCAGGTCTGATTTGCCTCCCTTGCCTTCTCACCCTTCCTCTGCTATCCCTCTCTGGTCTTTCTATCATTTTATGTCCTCTTTGAACCTTTTCCCCATCTCTTCCTTTGGCCCACTCAATAGGAAACCTTGTAAAGAACAACGTTATCCTGCAGGTCCTTCCCCCCAGCCTTTCCCTCATTCTCTCTTTATCACTTAATAGGACAGTTCCCAACTTTTCTTAACCCAGGATTGTTCCTGCCTCCTCCTTGAGCCTTCCAAGGGGAAACCTGACAACTGTACAAGGCTTTGTTTGCTTTATGGGGGCTTTTTTACCCCTCAACACCAGCCAGGCAAACAAATGGGCTTTAATTTGCTGGAGTCAGTGGAGTCTTGTTTTTTCCTGGACATGGACTCTGTCCATGTCATGCTGCCAGGAAACATAAACTACAACCATCTCCCTTCCTTGACCTCCTGTCAGCAAAGCTCAAACCACTCTGGGATCACTCAGCATCTCATATCTCAGTCAGAGAGGCTGTTTCAAGAGACACTTGGGCTCCTTTGATTTACCCTCACACCGACCATTTGAGATGCCCCAGAGCATCTTGTCTCACCTTCAGCTGTTCCTCTGGAAGGCCAAGTTCTCCTAAAGGCTTGCTGTCACATCTACCAGCCCTGTGTGGGCAGGTCAGATGCTCTGGGTTCCTCAGCTTGCACCAGCAGACTGTGTTTGTGCAAATGAATCACATCCACATGGACTATGGCATGGGAATTCTGACACCCTGGCTTGTAAACACCTGGAGTTGTGTGCCTGCCTTTGAAGGTCACCATGGACTCCCATCCCCAAGCCTGGCACAGCAGGACTCAGCCCTGCCCTTCCCATCACCAACCCAAGCCCGAATCATGAAAAATCGACCAAGGAAAGGGCACAAGAGAGAATACCCCATCTTCTTGCAGATCCATGACTTACATCCGTGATCTTGGGGTTGGTGCACTTGCCCTTGGTGCTGGACAACTCCAGCCACTGGCTGTCCTGGGCTGGGCAGTGCTGCTTCAGCGTGCACTGGTTCTGTCCCTGGCACCAGCCACACTCGAAGTCGGGGTCGGCTTTCAGGCAGAGTCCACAGCTGTCCCTCATGGCCCCACACTTGTACAGGTGAACTGCAGGGACAGGAAAACACAGAGGGCCTGAGGGATGCAGAAAGCACGGGAGAGCGGTGGGATGGCAGAGGGAAGGATGAAGGGTGAGAGACAAAGGAAGGTGTTCCAGGCTGCTCGTCCCAGAGTCAGGATGGGAACTCTCCAAGGGGGTGAGCAATGGGGCAATAAATGTGTACATCCTTCTCAAAATAAGCTGCACTTGTTAGAGTTCACCCCCCAGGAAAGGTATTTATGGAAGCTGAGAGCAGAAGGAAGTGGAAGTATGGATAGGTTTGGAGGAACTGTGCTTGGGCAGTGACTTGGCCTCAGTCCCTTCCTTATTCAGAGACTGAATGTCATAAAGTGTCACCTATAACCAGCCTCAGCCTCAGCTCTTCATCCTAAAATGATTTTCTAGACCAGGTCAACCCAGAGCTTAAACTTGGGGATTTGTCCAGGGTGAAACTACCCAGAACTGCATGTTGAGTTGATGCCACTCAGGTTTCTTACTTAATAGAAATAATATTAAATTAATTACATATTATATACTGTATATTAATATACAGTATAAACACAAACATATTATTTGTTAATATATAAATACTATAATATATAATTATATATAAAATAATGTAATATAAAATATAATATTTAAATAAATGTAAATATATAGTAAAAATACTTAATAGTAAATACACAATGGTTCACTCTGAGGTTGAATCCAGGGATTCACAATCAGCCTTTCCCCCTTCTTCTGTTCCAGAAAATGAGTCTGCTTTACATTTTGAAGCTCTGAGTTGATCCCCCTCTAATACAAGACAATGATTAATGCTTAGCTCCAGTTTGGGCTGTTAAGTGATTAGAAGCACTCAGAGCTTCTTCAAATAAAGCCTAAAAATGTTGCAGCCCTCCTACGAAACAAGATCATGTTATTTATCCTTATTTTGCAGCTGTGTAAGCTGAGGCCTGGCTCACACAGGGGACTGATAAAAGAATTGTCCTCCCAGATGATGATGATGATACAATCAAGACTCTCAGACTTGGTTTTTTTTTTTTTTTTCTGTATTTGTGGGCATGTTGGGGGATTTCTTTAGGAAATGGGGGATTTTCCCCTCTGTGCTTCTGTTTTGCTGTGCCTGTAGGTGACCGAAGTCTTGTCTGTGGTTATCACTACACACAATCCCAAAGCTCAAAGGCTCTGGATACATGTCTTGAAAAGCTCTGTCTCTTCACACCTGCACCCAAGAAGTCAGCAAGTATTGGCCAGTGCAAGGAAAAGCTCAGAAACTCATTATTTCTCTAGTCTGAGTGCAAGAAGAGTACCCCAAGAAGTACCCCAAAGAAAAGCTTGCAAAGCATCTGTCACTCGCAGTGTGCCACAGACCGCGAGGATGCCGCTTTTTCCTTAATGCTCTCTCAGATTTCCTCAAATTTGCTGAGTTGTTCCGCTTGAGATGCCCCCAGTGAGCATCTCTGCAGGCAGTTTGGTTTAGGTTTGGGGTCTCAGCCTGCCAGCCCAGCCTGTGGGATGCTGGATGTGAAAGGAGTGGCATCTTGGTGACCTGAAGGCAGCTCTCTGTGTCCTTAAGAGCACATGCTAAGCCTACATGTGGTACATCCATGGGCACAAGCCTAAGCTCTCCTCCTGATCCAAAACATGATGACATCATGCAAACTACTCACTTGGGATAGTCACCAGCCAGTGACACTTCCTAGATTTTTCCTAGTCACTACTTACAAGCTTTTGGCTTTGAATAACCCAGGAACTTTTAAGTTCTTGGGTAGGTTCTTTTGCCAAGGACTAAGCACCACAAGATGTTTCTTGGCTTCATCTTCTGGTCTGGTTTATGTTCCCAGCACCCAAAGACACAATCATCATGATTATCAGCTTGATTTTAATCCTACATCACCTTGGACAGTTAAGGACTAACCCAAAAAAAAGGGTTCACACTCTTGGTGTGGCCCATGTTGTGTCAGGAATGCTCAGTTTATAATGGGAGCAGAAAACTAACCAGGACTGGGGCAAGTGTCCAAATTCCAACCTCTAACCCACATTTCTGAAGGTTCTCACAGTCCATGACACTGTTTGGGCCCATGGAAATTAGCAGTGTCCTGGCAATGCCTTGGCACAGCTTGGAGAGCAGGAGACAACTTCAGCATGGAGGGAGAGCAGCAGTTTCAACATGTTACTGGATGCCAGGACTGGACAAGGGTCTCCAGCCTGTTGTGTTTAATGAGTGGATTCAACCCTTTAACAAGTTTGGGGGGGAGAGTGCAGGACCTTCAGCATCCAGACTGGTGATTTGAATCCAGTGGCTGTTGGAGAAAGACATCAGAGAGGTGGGAGCAGGTGGAGAAGGACAGGAAGGGATCAAGCCGTGGGAAGAAGAGTTGAATTGTGTACTGCTCTCCAGCTTCCATATGGTGTTGGTGGGAACCTCACCCATCACCCCTCAGCATGAGGGTGGGTGTGAAACGGTGTGAGAGTAGTGTGGGAGTACCTGATGGGGAGGGATGGAGTGGGAGAAGACGTGGAAAGTGTCCAGGAGAAGGTAAAGAGAGGGGGGGAGAAACTTCTGAGAGGTGGTGATGTGAGAAGGAGAGAATCTGCAGGTCTGAGCTGCAAATGCAGAGCAGCCAAGAGGAGGGGTTGCCTGGGGGAAAGATTTCAGGGTGGATGGACAAGAAGGAAGAAGAAGAAGACGTGGATGGACCATCCATCTCCAGCAAAACCCCTGCTGGATGTGCAGGGTCCCTCTGTGATGGGCACATCAATCCTGTGCCATCAGAGGTGGTTGAACAGAGCCAGGCTCTGGGCAGGAGGTGCTTTTCAGGCCTCTTCTCATTCTCATTTTATTTTGTTCAGAATGTTCCCACTGGTGAGCTGCAGCCTTTGTGCCCCCCCTCTCCCTTCCCCTGTTCATTGCTAGAGCCTGGTCTCCTGGCATGTTCACTGGAAGAGCATCCCTGCAGGAGCAATAAAGAGGGGGAGAAACTTGGAGAAGGAGGGGCATGAAAACCAGACACAAAAAAAAACCGCGGGGAGAAGCGGGAGGCGAAGATGACGAAGGGAGAGGGAAAACAACACAAGTGGGAGGGAGAGTCGCATTTCCCAGGTGGAATGAGAGAACTGGAGGGCTGGGGGGGGGCGAGGAGGACACAAAGCACACAAAAATTGGTGATTTGCAGAGTGTGGAGAACAAGTGTGTCTGTACCAGACAGCACAGGGAGACGGTGGCAGCTTTGTTAAGTGTAGGGGAGCGCTGCTGCCCGTTGCTAAGGTTACCACTTCCAAGGACAAGTTGAAATAACTCCTTACCTTTGTTCTGTGCCGGGTTGTCAATGTTGAAATTCCCGTTCCACACGACAGTCAGCTCCACTGGCAGGCTGTTAATCTCCATCCCTTCGTAGGAATACTGGAAGTGGGAGAGGAAAAATGAAAGAAAACCCCCAAACACAGACTTACAGAGTGCCCAAAGGTGGGGAGGGGATGGAACAAGGCAAGAGGTGCTGCTGCATGTTGTGAACAAGAGAAATGGAGCTGTCAGACACCTTCCTAGTCACCATCACCTTCCACAGTGCTATGGGAGGCTCTCAAAGCTGTGGATCTCAAACCATGCCCCTCTCAACAGCTTTCAGCCATTAGGGGAATATTCACAGAATGATAGAATTACAGGTGTGGGTTGGAAGAGACCTTAAAAATCATCCAGTTCCACCTCCTGCCATGGGCAGGGACAACTTCTACTATCCCAGGTTGCTCCAAGCCCCATCCAACCTGGTCTTGGACACTTCCAAGGATCCAGGGGCAGCCACAGCTTCTCTGGGAAACCTGTGTCAGGACCTCCCCACCCTCACAGGGAAGAATTTCTTCCTAATATCCAATTTAACCCTGTCTTCCTTCCACATAAAGCCATTCCCCGCATGTGACTGTGACAACGTGGAAATCCACCTTCCAGGTGCTGAGAACAGCTCTGAAATATATTTTGCCAACTCTTGGATGCATTTTAAGGTGTAAACAACACATTTTGGGTCTGTCATCCAACTCTACCTCTGCTATGTAACCCACAGGTGCTGAGCACATATATGGGGTTACCTACACTAGTGGTGTTTTGAAGAACTCTTGGAAGCTGAGTGAGGTCTCAGAAGTCAGGGAACGGGCACAACATGGAAAAAAAAGGGGGAAATAGAGGTTCTGTGTAATTATAGACCTGTCAGCCTAACTTGGCTTCCCTGAATGAAAGTACATCAAATTATTAAACAATCAATTTATAAGCACCTGCGAGATGATAAGGTGATAAAAATCAGCCAGCATAGATTTGTCAAGAACAAATTGTGTCAACCCAATCTAATTTCCTTTTTGACAGGCTTAATGACTTTGTGGATAAAGGGAAAGCAGCAGATGTCATTTATCTTGATTTCAGTAGAGTATTTGCTACTGCCCTACAGGAGATTCCCATAAACAAAGCAGGGAAATATGAACTAAAAGAAGGCACCATAAGATTTATGTAAAAACTGTCAAAAAAAAAAAACAACAGTCAGATAATTCCATGGCAGACTGGGAGGATGTTTCAAAAGGAATTCTGTCCTGGGTCTGGCATTTCTCAGTATTTTCACTATTGACTTGGATGATAGGCTACAGATTTCATGAATGACACTGTTCTGGGAGAGGGTGCAGGGTTAAGAATTCAAAACAAACTTGGCAAATGGGAGAAAAACGGGCCAAAATCAACCACCTGAAATTCAAAGCAGGGAAATAGGGACTATTTTTCAGTAGGAGAAATCAGTGCAAACAACTATGAAATTGGAGTGACTGGCCAGTGCTGCAGGACAGACTGGGGACTGCTGAGGATCATAAACAGACTGAATCAGCAATGCCATATTGCTGCCAAAACCCCAGCAATTCTCACTTGGGGATGGACCAAATAGAGTTTGTCACATATGTAAACCCCAGGATGCAAACATTTTTCCCTGCTCAAAACCAGAAAGGCTTCAGCTGGCGTGAGGAGTATCCAGTTTCCAGCAAATGCATCTTAAAAAAAGCCATAGAAAACTTCAGAGAGAGTTGGGCAGATTTAAACAAACACTTGTCAAGGACAGTCAAGGTTCACAGAGGTGGCCTGAAGGAAGGAAAGGGAAGCTGGTCTCTGGAGGCCCTCTCCACTTGGAGAACTCTCTGACAGCGCTTTTGTTTTCCAGCTAAATTTTAATTTATCTTCAGCCAGTTCACACAGGGTTCACTCAGTTGCCCCTCAGATCCCACTGCCAACCTCCATCAACAGCCTCCATCCCACACTCCACCAAAAGGCAAAAAGCCTCATAAAGGGAGAGGAGATGGTTGATTAAAGGACAGAATGGGAACAAAGCAAGAAGGGTAGAAACATTCCACATCTGCTACTGTTACTGAAGGATTTAACCTCCTCAGACCAGGAATCTCCCTCTGCACTGAGATCTATGGTGGGACAAACCCCCACTTTAAAAGAAAAAGATGGTTTTCCCCACTAAAAGATTAATTATAACTCAGCCAGGTGTCTGCTTTGGTTGGGCACATCTTAGAGAGCAGTAAGGAGTTCCCTACAGCCTAAAGTCTCAATGTGATTTTCCACAGAGATGCCAAAGCTCTGAGCCTTTACAGGAAGTTTTTCCTGTATCCCTTAATTGCCATATAATTGGGAGTAAATCATAGATGGTGATTTCTGTCCATTACAGCAGAGTGAGAGCTGGTTTCGCAGTAATTCCTCTTTGGACAAACTAAACACAATTAGCCATTAATCTGCAAAAGCCTGTGATTATGGTCTAGTTGTGGGGTATTTATGGGTATAAACTTTGTGGTTTCCATGGAAGTAAAGAGCAGCCACAGGTTACCCTTTGCAACAGGGCTATTCCCTCCAGTCTCATTCAGAATTTGCATTTTTATGACACTTTTTGGTGTCACTGCCAGCGAGATGCAAGACGATGCAGAGCTGCTTGGACTCACACCACTGGCTGTTCACAGCTTTTCTGAGCTTGGGACGAGGATGGGGAGACAGGAGTGGGAAGGAGAGTGCCTGAGAAGCAGTGAATAATTAATCTTGTGCCACTCAGCAATGCCTGCTCTGCCCAGCACTTTGAAAATGCTGGTTGGGAACGGGAAAGGGGATATACAGAACTCCTGGTCACCCTAAAATCAGATGAGTCTTAGGAAGTGCTACATTCTGCCTCCCCCAGAGCCTCATGTGTCTTTTGGGATTTACAGAATCATGGAATATGCTGGGTTGGAAGGGACCCACAAGGATTACTGAGTCCAGCCCTCAGCCCTGCATAGGACCATCCCCAAGAGTCACACCACAGGCCTGAGAGGATCATCCTAACATTCCTTGAGCTCTGTCAGCCTTGGTGCTGTGCCCAATGCCATGGGGAGCCTGTTCAGTGCCCAACCACCCTCTGAGGGACGTTCTTTTATTTAATATCCAACCTAAACCTTCCTTGACAGAACTTCAGGCCATTCCCTGGGGTCCTGTCACTGGTCCCCACAGAGATCAGTGCCTGCCCCTCCTCTGCTCCTCAGGAGAAAGCAAAGACCAGGCAGGGCTGCCAAGGGATAGGCAGCTGGAGTGCCCCAGAGCCTCTCATCCCAGGGAGGATCCCAGTGCCAGCAGCAGGAGCCCAGCTGGGAATTCAGATCTTATCTCATCTGCAGCACCAGGAGCAAACACACATTAAGCTTTTTAACTCAGTAGGTTTGATCCCGAACTGGAAATGGATACGAGGGAATAAGCAAGGGGATCCCCGTGGAAGAGCCCCAAGGATGAAGCCAGGAATGAGGATGCTCACACTGCCATGATCTGATCAGAGGGTTTTTGGGCTTCACGGCAGCGAAACGGAGCGATTTGCAAAGTACCAGCGAGCAAACGCTCCGTCCTCTGCAGACCACAGGAGCTGCTCACTCATTGTGACCCCTCTTCAAAGCCCGCTGAACTCAACAGGAGTCTTTGAAAAGGACTCACTCAGCTGTGACAATAAGATGGAAATGTGTTCCAGGGAAGAAAAAAGGGATGGTGCATCGATCTCCGGGACAGTGGAGCTTCCCAGGTACTCCTGCTGGGAGTTAGGGCTTGGCTGGACACCTTCCCTCCCTCCAACACAGCAAAACTGCTCAGAATCTGTAAATCTGACCCCTAAACCTGCCAAATCTGGATCACAGTCATGAAAATCAAATCAAAGCACAAAATTATGGGCAGTTCAGAGGGCCAAACTGAGAATGCCAAAACTCTGCTAGAAGGAGCTGTTGTAATTCACTTGAACTCCCAAGTGTCCTTTTTTTTTTTGCCTCTCAAACTCTTTCCTTGTATCTGATACTTCTGCAGTTTGTGCAAATCCATATCCACCCTTGGCCACTTGCTGTATCCTGGGATGTGTCAAAGGGTAAAGCCCTTGGGTAATTTGGCTTGGCCACACTTAGGATGACAAATGAAGAGTGACTTCATGATGTTTCCCCTTTGTATTTAAAGAATGTCCAGGAGTGGGGGAACATCTGCAGACAAAAAGTATTTTAGCAGTATTTTAGTGTTAGTCTGTTTTCCCTGACACTACTTTTGTGATTAAAGCTCAGTCCTGAGGATTGATTTCTGTACCTGGCTCTGCCACCAGCTCCTTTTGTGATCCTGTGCAAAACATTGAATCCCTCTTTGCGTCATTTTTCCAGTCATAAACTGAGCAGAAGAAAACTTCTTGTTCACAGTCAACCCATCTTCTTGGACTCTTTGCTTCCCAGAGCTGGGGCTGAATTTTTGTGTCTGAATATCACCCAGGCCAACACAACCTGTGTCACGACTGGGGTTTCTCTGTGAGATTTGAATGTAGACAAGTGATAATAATGCATCAAAACAATTTAGAAGCAGATGTGCAAGGCTGGCATTCCTGCCCATGGCAAGGGGTTGGAACTAGATGATCTTTAAGATGCCTTCCAATCCAAACCATTTTATGATTCTACAACCCACAGCCCTGTGCTTGTCTTTTGACCACCCATAACTGTGTTTTCCCATTATTTCTGTGAACAGAACTCCTCATTTTTTTTCCCAGCTCTGCTTTTTATTGGTTTTTGGGTTTTTTTATCACTTGCTCCTCTGCGAGCCACACCACAGAGTCCAATGCCACTGAGATCTCTTGCTGAAGTGCAATGATGTGACAAATAGAACATCCTTGCTTTCCTGTCCCTAAGTCACACAGCACTTTCAGCTGCACCACCTCGGGTCTCACAACACACAGACCTGTGAAGGACTCGAGACAAATTATCAGCAGGGATTTTGCTGCCAGGAATCAGTGCCTGCTCCCTGTGTGTGCCAAGGCCAGGGGTGGGCAGGCTCACACCACCCAAGGGTATGGGATTAGTCACTGAAGCAGGGAATGGCAATAATCATGGCATGCTCAGGTGGGTCATCCCTCACCCATCTCCCTCTTCCTCGTGCCAAAGGCTGATCATACTGGGCTGATTGCAAGTGCTGGGGCTCCCACTGTTTCCCACTGGGAAGATTGCTTTCTGCCCTGATACATCCAGCAATTTCAGCCCTTCCTGCTGACATTTTTACTTACTTATTTATATGTCTCCTTTGCTCCCCTCCCTTTTCATTTCCGCCCATCACTCCGTGTCCAGGCTGTTGGCAGAGCTATCACAAGTGCAATAAGGATTGGTAGGTAGGGCACCTCTGAGTGATAATTGCATGCCTTGGGTGGTGTGACAGGGGACAAAGCCCAGAGCTGAGAGTTTCAAACCACTTGACAAGAACAATAATTGTCCCGAATTGTGCTGCCTGCGGTGACTTATTGCTGTTATCAAATGAAACATCTCCAGGAAAGACAGGGAGAGGGGTAGATCTGAGTCCTGACTGGGCTGAGCACCCAGGGACCATCAGAACTGGATATGACATCCCTGACACACCACGAGGTAGGCTGGTCCCAGCTGGGTGTCCTTAGAACACCCTTAAACTGAAGCTGGAGCCACTTAGAAAGGTGCCTGCCTAGGATGGTTCTGATCCTTGGTGTAAACCTTGAGGGATCAGGAAATGCAAGGCAAGAGTTAAGGCTTGTCCCTGATTCTATCCTGTGTGAAAGCAGGAAAAAATCCTGCGTTTTGCAAAAGTTATTGTGCAAGAGGCAAATCTGAGCTCACTGGTGCCTAATGAGTGATGGGAGGGGGTAGATCTTGAGGCTTAGGATGGAAAACAAGGCAAGAACGATTGCTTGGCCTAACGTGCACCACCACCAGACCTGCCGGCAGGACAGCATCCCTTCGGGGACACACCATCACAACACATCCTCCCACCCTCCTTTGGACCTTCTCCAAGCCTGCAATGCAGGTGCTACGTTCAGTGCCTCCTCCAGCAACTGTGCTGAGTAAAAAGCTCTGCCAAAGGGGGTTGATTCAATTTGCAAACAAGCTCACTCGGCTGTTTCTAAAGCCAGGTGACCCCCGGAGCAGAGGCTCATTGTATCACAGTGGCTCCAGGCTGAATGCTAATTCTGGCAGGGAAGGGAATAATCATGATGGAGACATATCTCCAGCACTCCTTCCCTATTGTCTGTGTCCTCTGCCACCTGCTCAAACAGCCAGGGCTTCTCTGTTCCCTTTTTGTAGCTGTGTGAATGTTGCTTTCTTTTGTCTGGCTCTCCCTTCCACATCTCTTTCTCTCAGTGTCTGGCAAATTCAGAGCAACAATGAAATAACATTTCTCAGAAATAAAAAAAAAAAAAAAAAGGGAAGAAAAAAGAACTCAAATCAGAGTTAAAGGACCTTCAAAAGAAAAGGGAAGAAAAGGAAAGGAAAGGGAAGCAAAGAGAAGGAAGAGGAGGAAAGCGAGGGAGAGGGAAAGGGGAGGGCAGAGGAAAAGGGAGAGGAGGCAGAAAACAGCATAGAAAAAAGAGTTGATTTTATTTCCAAACGAGCCTCTCTTCCTGGAGAAGAAATAGATCCACTTGAGCCACCACCAAACGCGGGACAAGCATCCTACAGACAACACACAGCAGGGAGGTCATGGGGTGCCAGTGCCTTGGCATCAGCCCTGAGTCTCAGCCCTGCCACCCTCTGCAGCTCTGGCACAGCCTGGAGTGTTCTGGTTCAGCAAAACAGACATTAAGATCAAAATGGTGCAGTCACAGCACTCAGGCATTCCATGAGGAAATCCAGCTGGGGGCTCGTGGAACCCCACTTCTCCAGTCCCAGGCACTGGCAGCTTCTCGGGGCTGGCAGGTGGTGTGGGAATAGTAACCATTGCTTCTCAAAGCCAGAGACATTTCTTGGGTCCCACAAAAGCTGAGACTGGCTGAACTTAATCTCCTGCTCAGCCCAACTATGCTTAAAATCATCCTGAGATAATTCATGCTAATGCCTATGTATGCCAGAGAATTCCTGGCTCTAGAGGGTCTCTAAAGGTCTCACTTCCCTGCTAAGGCTCTTTGGACAGATATATAATCTCTGCCCATGTCCATATAATACCCCTTTTTCACCACTGTAAAAGAAAATACTTTTTTAAAAAAGTGTAATACCTTCTTAACTTCTCAGGCCCCCTATTTCTGCGAAGCCTCAAACCTGGAAGCCCACAGGTCATTAACCAGTAATGAAAATCAGGAGGAGGGAGGGAGAGGGACAAAGAAACAAATAAAAGAGCCTCATTGGGAAGTTGATTGTTTGCAAAGGATTGTAAAACGTGCGAAGTGCCTGCGATGTTCAGCTGGTGCCTAACGCAGCAGAATATGTTGTGACAAGCAGTGCCCAGCGTGGAGTGGCAGAGCTGCGGTGAAGTGGCTAAAGCCTGTAATTAGCTCTTTGACTAATAAATCACCTCGCAGCAGCAGCAGTGAAAATGACTCAGATGCATATCTCGGAGACATGAACCTCATGGAGAAGACTCTGGAGAAGTAGAGACTGCTATTGCAGGTAGGAACAGCTCCTGGCAGACGACTGATTTGTCCCCAGAACGGGCATGGCTGTGGTGACAACGCTGTCGTGACTCACACAGGCTCCCTGGGAGGGGGGTCACTGGTCCTGCACTGCAGATGGGAAATGGAGGTGGGCAGAGGGAGAAAGGGACTCACCAAAGGGCATGTGGTGAGTCAGTGGCTGCGGGAAGGTCTGACTCAACCCAAGGCCAGGTTGGACGGGGCTTTGAGCAGCCTGGTCTAGTGGAAGGTGCCCCTGCCCATGGCAGAGGGTTGGAATGAGATGATCTTTAAGGTTTCTTCCAACCCAAAGCTTTCTGTGGTTCTGTGATCTCACCCTTCTTTTGACCCATCACATCAGGCTGTTTATATGGGGGTTTCTATGTCCCATCACAAAACCCCTGCAAAATAACCTAAACTCTCCATCTGGAAACCCTGTTTGTGGCACTGTGAGGATATGAGCAGGTTAAGCTGACAATGATGCCTTATGGGTCATGGCTAAGGTGCTCCAGCATGGCCAAATACCAGGATCCAGGGCTCCAGGGCCAGAAGCAACTACTGTGTGGTGACACCAGCCAGTCTGATCAGAAAAAGGGGCAGTTTTCAAGCTACCAGCCAGCATTTCCTTGACTGTGATTGGAATCATAGAATCACTGAGGCTGGAAAAGACCTCCAAGATCATCAACTCCAAACTTTGACCAAATATCCTCATGCCCACTAAACCACACCGCCAAGTGCTATGTCTACACATCTTCCAAACACTTCTAGGGATGGTGACTCCACCACTTCCCTGGACAGCATGTTCTAATGCTTAACCACTCTTTCAGCAAAGAAATTTTTCCTGCTATCCAACCTGAACCTCCCCAGCACAACCTGAGGCCATTTCCCCTTGTCCTATCACTTGTTATCTGGGAGAACACATCGACCCCCGCCCAGCTACACCCTCTTTTCAGGGGATTATAGAGAGCAATAAAGCATCCCTTGAGCCTCTTCTCTAGATTAAACAGCTCAGTACCCTCAATAAGGTAAAAAGGGCTGTGACACCACCCCAGATCCCACTGGGACAGTGCTGTGGGCACTTTTAGTCCTGTGTGGCCCCTGCAGCTCTCCCAGGCACACAGGGCTCGCTCACCGAAGTGTTCTGGCACTGCACACTGGAGCTGTTGAACCTCAGGGCTGGCACCCTCTGCTCGCTGCCCTGGATGTTCAGGATGCACTCGTAGCCTCTCTGGCCCGACTGAGGCTGGGGCAGGTTCTTGGCCTTCAGCGTGATGGGTTTGATCACTTCCACCGGCACCAGGATCTTCTCAGCCTGCAGCAGCTGGGGACAGTCCTGGGGAGAGAGCAGACAGCACACCAAGTCAGCACATGGGGTTTCCCACCCCCAGGTGGAGCCCTCTGATGCTTCTCAACCTTCTACCTTTACCTGCTTACAAATCCTTTGCAGCTCCCCGACCTCGCTCCGTTACGGGGGAATTGGGGAGTGTTACAGGGAAGGCTCAGATAAACAGGAGAGGAAGGATTTCTTTTACAGACCATCCTTTCCTATCTCCCTTGCTTACACTGCAGACTTTCAGCCTTCAGGACCCAGGGAAGCCACCTCTGGTGTTTTTTAATACCTGCTCTCTTATTCAGGTAATGGAAAAGGAATCATGTTCCCTCCATGGGTTTAGTCCAGTCACAATGCCGTGATAGAAGTGAATAAAGCCAAAACCTGAGCATAATTCCTTGCTTCCCAACACCATTAATAAAAGGCACAGCTCCAGCCAGCTCCAGCAAGATGTGTTGCAACCTATGGAGTCGGGGATGTTAAAAAGAGAGTTTATTTTGGCTTAGAGGAGGACAAAATATTTATTACAGATAGATCCATCTCCCAAGAAACAACTGTTACACACTGTGTGGAGATCCCTTGGAAAGGCTCACCAAAGGAGCAATGCCAAGTGGATGTTGTTAATCTGGTGCCTCTGGGTGGGTCCCTCACAAAGGTAGAGGTCTGGGCACCCAAAGGTGGCACGCAGGAGGCTGCACTCAAAATGTCATTAATTTGCACACCTCTAGAGTGGCCATGTGCTGCTTCTTCACGGCACAGTCAGACAAGCTGTCACATCCATGGATTCTAGGAAGCTACCACATCTTTAGGAAATTACTGCAGCTTTTTCCTGGCTGATCCAAGGCCATTTGATATAAAATGGGATCCCTTAAATAAACCACTGCAACGGGCTTCAAAACAAAAGCACAGACCACACTCCCTGTGAGTGCCTGCCTGTCCCCCCTGGTGATTCTTTTCAACTCTCAGATACCAAGGTCAAGTCTGTCCCCTCCTTTTCACATTTGGCACATTGGTTGCTCTCTGTAGAGAGCTCCAGTATCATGATGATGCATCCACCCTGCCCAGTCCAAAGAGCAACACCATTTCAGCCTATCCTGCCCAACATTAAAGCCAGACCCAGCTGGGGCCAGCAGAGACAGGGAACTTCCTTAAAGAGGTGCAACCTTAATCTGTAGGGGTTGGCAAAAGGAAAATGACTGACTCAGGGGAGAAAAGAACTGAAAGGTTCAAAAGTGGAATTTATGGCTTATTGAGAGCCTGGGAGCTTGTTAGAGCAGATGGTGGGAGCATCTTACTGAAGCAAACAGCTTAGGGAGATAAAGAAATGGATTAGAAGTGTAACATCTGCAGTTACATCAACCACGAGCAGAATTACAAGAGCCATCAGTCATGACATTGCATGTGTGAGTTGATCCAGGGGCAAGAGGAAAATCCAGTAACCACTCAATGTCCCTGCAGTGAGGTCCAGAAGCCTTCCTCAGCCCCAAAGAGGGTCTGTCTGTCCTGGTGAGGATGCCAGACAGAAGAGTCCTTCAGGGCCATGTGATTTCCCATCTGCACTTAGAGAGCTACTGGTGGGCTCCAATTGGCCTTGCCCAGGTTGGCACCAGAACCTGGACAGGAGCTGGGTGGAGCTGAACCATCCTGGGTCCAGTGTCTGTTTTTCCCCCTAAACTGGTACTAGGCCTGGCTTGATACCTGCTACCAAGGGCTGAGGCTTAACAGGCCGTCAGGTTAACCTGGTTGGAGGGTGTAAGCATTGGAGGTGGAAAGGAAAGCCCACGGGTGACTGCAATTCAGTGATGAACTTCACAACTGTGATTCTCTGCACTCAGAGGGGGTGAGGATTGAGTGTTTGAGGGGCTACACCCTGTTCCAACACTCCCTTCTCCTGCTGCTGGGCTGCCCTGTGATGAAACATCTCTAGGGAGTTACTAATGCTCAAACACAATGGTTAAAGCGCCAGAGAAGTGTTTTTCTTGATTAAAGAGCAAGGCTTTACCATCTAGAAAGTCTTCCCAACCTTGAGTTCAATGGTCCTACACAGCAGCGTTAAGGATAAATGCAGGGTTAAGTAGATACTCAGCACGAGAAAATGAGGTATAATCTATAACTCTGTGTGATTTAGACCTATAAAAACCCAGAGGACAGGGGAAGGAGATGGTCTAGGCCATATTAAAGCAAGAGAGAGAGTTTCCAGTGCTGATCATGCCAGCAGATACCACATGTAAACACTATTTGGGACTAAATGGTTTCAACACCCCCGACCCTTCCCCGTCACGTGCCCAACATGTCCTGGGGCTTCTGCATCTGCTTCCTCTCTTTCTCCTGGCAGAAGAAAAGACCTTGGCAACATCCTCTCCATTTTTTTCCCTCCCCAGCCACAGGAGTTGAGAGAGAGATGCATTGGCAGAGGGAATCAGTGGGACAGGAGGATGGGAAAGCCGTATCTGCCGCTGAGCAGCCGTTTCCCAAGAGTGGGCATTTCGCTTGATGTCTGTCAAACAGCAAAGCCCCTGATGGGAACTGGAGGATGGAGGTTGGAGATAGTCCACCCTGTTACCTGCAGGCCAATCCCAGCTCTTCAGCCTGGTCTTTCTTGTGGAGCCTTATCCCGTCCCCCTCCACCGCTGGTGCTGTAACCTTTCCGATAACACTTGTTTCAAGTCCATTAACAAGCCGTGATTGAGGCAGCCCCAAAACAGGATTCGTTTGCATATAAAAAGCTTTGCAGTGCTGTGAGGAAGTTCATTATAGATAATTGAAGAGGCAAGCGCCATAAAGAGGAAATCCTCCCAATGTGCCTTTATCTGATTGACCTAATGTTCTTTCTAATTGAAACGGGGAGGGGAAGAGGCAATTTCATTGGGTGTTGTGCTGCATAAAACCTCAGAGCTTGGACCAGGCTCTGGGTTCAGATTCACACAGAACTCATTTTGCAGCCTGTGTCAAGCTTTGGGTGCCTGGCCAGGTTTGTATTTTTGAGGGGAAAACAACAAGCTGCTCAGAGCAGGCCCAAGCAGAGGAGTCCTTAAAAAAGATTCATCTTGGGTATTTTACAGTGGAGGCACTTTCCCTGCACCCTTCTCCTCTGCAGTGGACATCACCTAGGCTGGAAAATATGGTTTTCACCTGATAGAGAGGAAATAAAAATATACTGCCAACAACTGCACCAAAGAAGGGCACAATCTCACCCCTTTTGCCTTTGGTATAAAATAAATTAAGCCTTTTGCCCAACTCGAAGGGCAGCTGGTTCAGAATCCAGAGGATTGTTGTTGATTCATTTTGTGTGTGTAGCTTCACTCTATTCCTGAAATGCTTTCAGATGAGTCAGACCATTTACAATAATATCCCCCACCCTTGCCAGTTACTCCTATCAGCAGCAATGCACACCTCACATCACCAAAATTTTGCCAATTACCAAGTCAGGGAGCTTTTGCAGTGAAAACACTGCATGAAATGGGCTGGACTCATTGGGTCGATGGTAGTTTAATTTTCTTTATTTATAACTCCTCACAGAGCGGCTGTGAATGTGTTTTGTTGTAGCTTGCAGAAATAATAAAAGTCTCAGAAATATGAGAACCTTTTCTCTCCCATATGTGTTATGGCCTCCATCACAAAAGCTGAGTGAGTCCCCAGTGAGAGCCATCAGGACGATTCTGCTAAAGAGAATGATGAAAACTCTCTGAGGCCGTGTGGTCTTAGCCCTGAACTAATTAGTTAGGTTCCTTTATGGTGCCTTATACATCTAGAGTTATGATTTCATGGAAATTTCATCCTGCTTTTTCCCAGTATAAGCTGGAGACTGACCAGATACTCTGAGTTATCATCCTCTCCTAGGAACGTAGGGTTCTTTCACAGCCTTGTGATGCTACATGGGTTTTATTCCAACCTTATTTTGTACAGTTTCACTCTCTGTTACTGGTTTTGGCCAGGGTTATGATCTGAAGTGTCATCAAAGTGTTTTCCACTTTCCAAAAGACAATGGGTTTTATCTACTTTAAACGGGGGGCATTCCACATGGGAACAGGTGAAACATCCATGAAGGTTTAATACAATGGCCCATCCACCCATCAACAACCTCCACCTTATATTGCTGTCCCAGTTCACTCGTTTTCACTTGTGCATCTCTGCTCACACAGAGCACCCAGGTGAGGGAATCTTTCCAACTTTTCCCTCATACTGGCTCCTCATGATCCCTGGTAGCACTGGCTGGGTCTCCACTTAGAGCTCACCTATCACTGACTTCATTGGAGGAATCCTTGGCAAGATAAACTCAACCCTTGGCAGTGGATTTTCACCCTTCCTTTCCCAGAAGGGCAGGAGTCATCTCCATTCAGGACCAGACACAGCCACCACCACCAATTCCTTTATTACTCATCTCAAAGCATCCAGTTCCCTTTTTCTTTCTTCTCCATTTCTTCACCCTCGAATTGAGGGTTTTTTTTTTAAGACTTTCTTTTCAATATCCCTCCTCCACCCACCAACTTTGTTCCTTGTCCAAGCCATCTTGCGTGGAACAAACGTGACCGTAAAGTGAATCTGAGAGGGAAGCAGAATTTACTCACTCAAGACCTTTGGGGCCCCACAAGAAATGAAACTCAGATTGTTATTTACTCACATATCACATAAATAAATACATCTTTTGTTCATCTCCTCTGCTGAGCTGCAATGTTCTGTTTTTCCCTTTGCTCCCTGTGGCTTTCTCACCCGCCCACACTGTGCTGTAATCAAGTCAAGAGGGTAAGAGTTGAGAGACAGGGATTGGGTATTTATAAAGATATCTAGACCACGGCATCTGGATGCTCTGTAAATCAGATTAGATTAGAAAACATCATGACAAACACAGAACAAGGAAAGAGAAAGAAAAGGAAGGGAAGGAATGAGAGAAAGGAGGGGAAATCCGGGCAAAAAACAGGCAAAAAAGAGGCAAACCCCCCCCCAACCTTTCACTGACTTTGGAGAAATCAGATTTCACCCGGATAAAAAGCAGGAAAACAGCA